GCAAATTCATGGAATCCCTGGACAGCTAAGGCTTCTAAGGTTCCGTACAGATCCATCTTGGCCCAGAGCTCCTCCGGCGATGGAAGCGGATAAGGATCTGGGAAGTCGCCAGTCTTGTACCTCAGCAGTGACTGGGTCGTTTTTTTCCATTCGGCATCTTCGGCTTCTATGATTTCTATATATTTCTATGGGAAATTGGCATATCTGATATTTGTATCGCATTGTGAACTAAGAAAAAGTTCCCCACCAGCTGAAATTATTGGGGAAGAACCAATTGTGCTGAGTTCACAGTCCACAGCTTGTCCGACAGTGTCCGAAACAGAACGTCCACGGCCATTGTCAATGATTCTTGCAAAGTCCCTCTCAAAGCAAGCACACCGTGCAGAAACATACGAAAACACGGTTTCTTCCGGCTGCGACTGCCACGTCTACAACGGGTCTCCCTCTCTTGAACTTGGCGTCGGGCAAGTGTTTGCGCTGCTTTGCCTTGTTCTTGTCGAGCCAATCTTCAGCCTTATCATCCAAGCCTGGCAAGCCATGCTGCATTGCTCATTGATGCAGTTTTTTGGGTACAAGCAAAAAACATCAAAAAACCCATTGAAGCAGTGCTGCAGTGCAGAAAAAATGATTTAAAAAGGCACAAACATGCACAAACAATATCAAACAATATCAAAGTGACTGCCGGCCTTCAAAGCGCCATTTCTTCAGCTTATATTCCTGCAAAGTGGCAGCCGTGTCCCTCCGCAGACAAATGCAGACAGATATTGATGGCCGGTAAACACTTATTATCACCTATTCTTCATCTAAATGTAGAGGCCACCACTCCCACAGGCTAAGAAGCTAACAACATTTGATAAACAAATGGAGATCAATTTTGCCAAGACAAACAGGCATGTCATGGTTCATGTTCGAAATCAAGGTTCTGATTTCGCGCCCGGAAGCGCTGTTTGGTGAGTCCATCTTGCGGTCCAGGTGGACACCTCTCATGTTGATGCTGAAGCCCAGTGTCCTGCGCTTGTTGGTTCTTCTTGTCTGTGAGCTCACCCTTGATGGCCGCCTGAGAAGCCAAAAGTCTCGAAGGACAAAACAGCCAACTAGGTAAGAAGTGGCAAGATCAAGGCACATCGAAGGCACACGCTATAGGTCCTTCATGGTCCTTCCGTCAGAGGTAAGAGCAATCAATCATAACCAATCCACGCCATAGCAATTTTTAGACCCTTCACCCCAAAGATTTCTTGGGAAATTTCAATGCCACATCTCGCTCCATGTTCCAGCCCAAGGCTGTCATGTTCCAGCCTCGAGCCACTCCATCTCCACTCCATCGTTCCGGTTGTTCAAGAAAATCAGCCTTTGCCGTGCAGCTTTTTTTTAAACATTAGACACTATCCGTCTGAATCACAGCCTTGCCAGTTGCAGTAGGAGCCTTTGAGTTGTGATCTGGAATTTGGAAATGGTGGCAGTTCTGATCCCCCTCATAAATCCATAAGTCCATAAGCCACATCAGAATGGTCGCCGGCACCAAGCAACTGCTGTGGAGTGTTGCCATTCAGATCTGGAGTGGTTGTATCTGCTCCGTGCTCCACGAGCCACTGCAAGCACCTCGAAAGTGCTGCCACAAACAAGTTGCTTTGAAAAGGATACAAAAAAAATGTCAATTTTGATCAAATTTGTGGCTGCATTCATACCGCAATTTTGTTTTCCATGAAATTACGTAGTTTAAAAAAAAATGCATTTCGATCAATTGCCCGTCTGAAGCATGCACCACGGAGTGCCGTAGCGCACGGCATACCACGCTGGCCTCAATCAAACTGCACTTAACCGGATACACACAGGACGCTGTATGATGCACTTACAGTACATCTAAGTTTGGAGCAGCACTTGCTCTCCCTTTTCGTTTTGGCAAAATATCTTGCATAAGGATGCTTGAGTCGGGGCAAACAAGACTGAGTGCTGGAAGTCTGGCAACCTATATCAATATCAACCTATGTCCTATGTCCTGTGTCAATGAGTCCGTTGCGTACCAAGTACTCTTTCATCCAGGTTCCTCACGTCTCGCCGTTGAAGGTCTGTGCGTTCAGCTCTTGCTCGTTGCACGCCTGCACCCGGAATGGTTTTCGAGGAGTCAGGCTGATTTGGACGCATTTGCCACAAAAAATAATACCCTCTGGTAAACTAACATAGCTATTGAAGATGGCCATTTATAGTGGATTTACCCATTGAAAATGCTGATTTTCCATAGTTACGTTAGTTTACCAGAGGGTAAGGAGAGTTGTAATCCGTGTGTTGGGAAAACCCATGGAAAACCCAATCCAGCACCAGCCTTGAGCATGTCCATGTTGCCATACATGCAAGCCTGGGTCAGCATCCCTTGTCAGCTGGAAATCCGTCAACAAATACGTGTTTTTTGTAAATCTGCCTTGTCAGCTTCAGCTACAGAAACAGTTGGTCTAGACCCTTGATTCATGGCTTGATTGTGAGACACAAAAACCATCTGGGTCTGAAAATCAGGTACCCATAACCATAACTGTCCCCATCATCATCCTGTGGCCATTGTGAAAAATCCTTGGGATCCCCGACAATGTGAGCTGGACCCCAGCCCAGGAAGTTGGTCAAGCCGTCCAACCTTGGTCATCCCCAGTCACCATGGTCGAATGACTTGGATCGTTTTTTGGGGGACCCCCATTTTGAGGAAACTTCCATCTGGATGTAAACTTCCATGGTTTTTTGTAGAAAGTATGACCATCCCCTTTCATATCATGAAGGGTATATATACCAAGGGTGTTAATAATATATATACATACATATAACCTACGTTGCCATGTCGCCCATCAGACCCCCGGACGTTCCATTGAGGCAGGCATAGGCGTAGGCGTCGGGCTGAGCGAAGCAGCGAAGATCAGCCCAGTGTAATGACGGGGCGGGCAGAGTTCGTTGCACCATCTGGGGTATAAAACTTGGTTTTATACATATAATATATATATATACAGTAACATTATGATACAACCCAGTGTATAATTCATGCAACCGAACATAAGTTACCATATAATATTATAACCAAATCTATGTATGATTTGAACATTATGATACATACATGTGCATATATATATATAAACACTATATAATTATATAAACATATATGAACTCTATATATATATATAAGAGTTGATATTAATCTAGGATTAATCTGGTATAATTTGGTCATGATTTCATCATGTACCCATTTTAAACATGATGGGGGCTTGAAATAGGTATAGTTGTTGGGTCTTTGAGGTGCTCCCAAGAGTATAGGATGATATCAAATGCGATCTGGGGTCCCCAATTTTCGAGGGAGATGGGATGGTAGCCCAAGTTGTCGATTACCACCCAATTTCTTTGAATGTTTCCGGATTTTCTGATTCACCATCCTGGATCAAGGCTTGTTCCCCTAAATGTTCAAAGCCAGAGCCATTGGAATAGCCTGTACCCTCTAAAAAAATTCCCCGCTGAGGTCTCCCAACGGTAACGCTAATGCCACTGAATGGATGCGACAGTGGATGCTTTACCTGGGACTTCACCATGGTTCTTGTGGTCGAAGCATTGGTTGAATCATTGGGGATGCGACCAGTGATATGTTTCTTGGATTGTGTGCAAAGCATGTTTGGAAAGGTGTCTCCTGAAACAGATCCAATGAGATTCACGTACATCAGGAGGATTTCACATACCAGTACGACCACAAAACATTTCAGATGATTTTGGTGTCGGTGTTTGTTGGCGTCAACTTCTCACGCTGAGACTAATTGAGGTGCATCTTCCGATGCATTTAGATCCCTTTTTCAGGAGAAGCATCCGAGTCAGATTGCAGAAACCTTCATCGCATATGATCATTTTCAAATGTTCAACAACTTGCATCAACATCACTCAAGTTTACTTGAAACCAACTGGATCCAATGATCATGGAAGATCATAAACACTATTAAGTACATATATATATATAGTTATATATATATGTATATATAGTTATATATATAAGTATATATAGAGAGAGAGAGTTATATATAATAGATCAACCCTGGATGTCATTGAAATTATGATGTCAAACTTTGCGGGTTTCGCCACAAAAAAAAAAAAAGCACAGCTCCGCGACGAGGACGTGACCCACTTTGGCAGTCTGTAGGCATCAAACTTTTTGTGCCCAGGCCTGGCGCGATCGCACCGCCGGACGCACGTGAAAAGCTCAGTTGCTGTGTGCAAACGTGAATGGTCTAGGAACTATTTATATTCACTATATATCATATATGATATCTGTATATATAGTTATATATGATATATATATATATGAGATATCTATTATATATGCATATACATATATTCACCCCGCTTCGCGTGGGGTGGCCGCCCACACCGCAGGTTTATTTCGGTCCGTGAGAGGGGCTAAGGGTGGTTTTCCCCCGTGGGGGCTCCCCAAGCTAAGAATTTTCACTTTCCCCCCCCGTGGGGGCTCCCCAAGCTAGGGAATTTTCACTTTTCCCCCCCCGTGGGGGCTCCCCAAGCTAGGGAATTTTCACTTTTCCCCCCCGTGGGGGCTCCCCAAGCTAGGGAATTTTCACTTTTCCCCCCCGTGGGGGCTAGGGAATTTTCACTTTTCCCAAGCTAGGGAATTTTCACTTTTCCCCCCCGTGGGGGCTCCCCAAGCTAGGGAATTTTCACTTTTCCCCCCCGTGGGGGCTTCCCAAGCTAGGGAATTTTCACTTTTCCCCGCCGTGACAGCTTCCCAAGCTATGGAATTTTCACTTTTCCCTCCCCTCCAAGCCCCTAAAACGACGCCTAGATAGTCCCGTGTTCTTTGAATGTGTTTCCATGTTTTTGCAATGGTTTCCTTCAAAGCACGGTACTTTACACTTTTGTCGCCATAAAACCGGTCGAAAACATCATGTTCGACAATGCTTCCAATTCCCTTATCTCCCCAACCGTTGAAAATACCGCTATTTACAGTGTTTTCTTCAATTTTTCCATGTTCCAATGCCGGTAGCCAACTCCAACATATATATAAGAAATCCTTCCAAAACATTGTTTTTGACAGTGTTTTTCCAATGTTTCCAGTCAAACAGACGGTAATTTACACGTTTTTTGCCATAAAGGCAGTAAATCCTTCCAAAACATTGCTTTTGACAGTGTTTTTGTAATGTTTCCAGTCAAGCATACGGTAATTTACACGTTTTTTGCTATAACGTCAGTCCAAAACACTTGTTTTGCAGTGTTTTCAATGCTCTGGCATCCAAAAACCCTGCAAAATCTTGCTATGTACAATGTTTTTTTCATTTTTGGCCGTTTTTCCATTGCCGGAAAGCTACCAAAATGACCCAAAATTCCATTTCAATACCCTCTTGCGCTCAGACACCCAAAAATCCTCGAAAAATGTCGAAAACACCACCGTATTCTGGTCTCGGTGCGAAACCGTTTTTGGCCCCCCCCCCAGCTAAAGCTGATATAGCGACTGCTATATTAACAAATGTCATTGAGCATTTAGTGTTGCTGTTTTGCCCCCCAATAAGCACGCCTTCACCGCCAAAGCGGTGTGGGCGGATTTGATATAACATCTATGAATATCTATGATTATCTATGACATATCACGAATCTCAAGTTGCAGCAACCAGGTATTCCAGGAGACATCAATTGCAACTGGGCCTGTTCTCTGCCATCCCATCGATATGCTGCTTGTAGTCGAGATCCCATGACCTGTGGAGAAGATTCGATGGGGGTACCCCCAAATCATCCAAGTCATGGATGATCATTTTAGTATTGAAACATATTGAAACCCATGGTGACGACTGAAGATCCTCCATTTCAGGAAACCTCCAAGTATGAACCAGGCATGCGGGATTTCCGTTCCGAGCGACTTCAACCAATCCCTGTCATATCATTTCATCCGGGGTCAGAATTCCAGATTGTATGTATGGAAAAGTAAGCACAGTGCTGATCATTTTTCCCAGCTAGCTCCAGCTCCGAACATATTCTCCCGAAAACAAAACCATCTCCCTCAGTGTGGGCGATGTTCCCATGCACTTCGCGTCGTGCAGGTTTCCAAATGTTTGAGGTGCCGAAGACAAAGCCGATAATATCATGTCATAATTTTGGTTACGCTCCATGACATCCCGTCCCACTACATCCCCATTGCATCCCCACTACATCCCCATTGTAGTTGGTTTTATACCACATTTATCTCTTGGGATCCCCATTTGGAAGCTACAAGGTGGTGCCCCATAGTTAGCTAAGTTGGTTTATAACTCCCATAACTATGGTTTATGGCAGATATAACTATAGTTTCTGGGGTTTATAAACCAACTTATAACTGGGGGGCACCATCCTGTATGCCTGAGCCAATTCTGGAAAGTCGGGCTCCCCCACTCGCCATCCTCTTCATAAGGCATCTTCGACGCTGTCGCGTGTGTGGCCCCACCTACGGAGAGGTTTCGCGCCATTGACCTTCAACGTATAATGTACATAGATCATTCGATGGATCGATGGATCGATCAATATATAATATAATATAGATATAGATAGAGATATAGAGATAGAGATAAAGATAGATATTTAGATATAGATAAAGATGTAGATGTATATATATATAGATACATCGACATATATGGATATATAGATATATAAATATATAGATACATAGATCTATAGATCTATAGATATTCAGATATACATATGCACAGAGATGTAGATATATGATCGATATATGATCGATATATGATCGATATATGATAGATATATGATAGATATATGATATATATATATGATAGATATATATATGATAGATATATGATAGATATATGATAGATACATGATAGATACATGATAGATATATGATAGATATATGATAGATATATGATAGATATATGATAGATATATGATAGATGTATTATAGATAAATGATAGATATATGATAGATATATGATACATATATATGATAAATATATGATGAATATACGACAGATATATGATAGATATATAATAGATATATGATAGATATGTGATATATATGTGATAGATATATGATAGATATAATATATGTGATAAATCTGTGATCAATATATGATAAATAAATATATGATAGATAATAGATATGTGATAAATATATGATAGATATATGATAGATATGTGATATATATATATATGATGCAAATTAAAATTTTGTAGATCTATCTCCCCCAGTTTGATCAGTATCCTGATCAAAAAACCTCGCCGAGGGCAGAACGCTGGGACCAAGCGGCCAACGAGGGCCCTACCACACCCGGAGCCAAACAAGTGGCTGCCAGGAGCTGTGGACTAGATCTTGCAAAGGCAATGGCATGGAAAATAGAACCCTTCTTCAAAAAGCTTCTGTCATTCTATTAAGCTGGTTGGTGAGTAGGAATTCCCATAGTGGATTCTGATAATCCCTATAAATCATCAACCAACAAGGTTTTTGAATACTGCTCAAATGAATGACGCACAAACATAGGGTACTTTTTCACGTGGCTCAAAAGTGGATGGTTTACTACTAGAAATGAGCCTTCAATTTTGACCACTTTAGGAGGTGGATCGGCATCGTGAAAAAAACGTCAGGGTCAAAACAGGCACTCATACAATAAATTTCTTGGTACCTACATCATTCCATATCTATATATTATTATCTATATACTTATGATACGTATATACATATACAGTCATAGACAATCATATACGACATTGTACAACACATATATGTATCATGTCTTCACAGAAAAAGGAGTATTGTTACGTGTCGCACGTTGCATCTGCTCAACATCGCTGTCGCCCTGCGACTTTTGTCGACACTAAACGCCGTTCAATCGCCAGGCGCCAGCAGCTGCGGCCTTTTCGCCTGCGCTGGGGCCCCCCATCATGGCCGCCATGGCCCTCGGTTTGAGCCCTGGCAACTTGGAAAATCTCTGTTACCCTCTGGGGATCTAACATGGTTTTGGAAAATCACTATGTTGAATACCTTAGGCAACTCATCTGCAAATGGACCATTTTCCGTAGCTATGTTACATTTCCAGGGGGCATATGCTTTATACTTTATACTATGATTATTAATGTGGCAAACCCAAATAATAGGCTGTGGAAGCCATGGCCCATTTAGTTCGATGGTTTATCTATGAAAAATTGTAATTTTCCAAGGCAAACTGTGAGATTATCAGAGGATGCTATTGAAAATGTCAAAGTTCACAACATTTCACATCAATAGCAAACTGTTCCATCTCATGGTGATTTTCCATGGATACCCCACCATCATCCAGTACCAACTTCTCTCCTGGCCTTGCGACTTCGTGAGCCTTGGTCAACTGCAATCCAGAACTACCATGAACTACCTACCTCTGTATATATATATATATATATGCATAATTACCATCTATATCTGAATCTATTTAAATTGTTTATACGCCCAAACATATTGCTATAATTATACATTATATATAATTATATATATAATAATATAATATATATATAATTATATATATATATGGTTGTTGATCAAAATTCCTTTATCCCGGAACGGCCATTCTTCGCGAATAAAAATTTACTTTCGCGAAACTGTCGCGAACTCCATGTTTATCTTTCGCGGGGCCCATGTTGGCCAACAACACCTCTTATAAAGATTCGTTCACCACCTGCCAAATTACACCAGAGAATCACGGATCACTTCTTGGTAGCCTTTTAAACATGCAGCTAGCATCACGGAATCCCTTCTCAGGACAGATATTTTTTGCAAAGTTTACTGGCCCACCCCCTTCAACATGCACTTTGACTTTCGCCCGCTCTTTCGCATAACTTTCGCAGAACTTTCGCGAAAATATCCCTATTCACAGACCCCGGCCATCAGCAGGGGGTGCACTGAAGGAAAAACGAAGACCAGGGGCCTTGGTGTTTGGCTCTCGCAAAGCATCACTTTTGGAAACTTGGCTACTGCTACTCGCATTCTCTGGTGCCCTTCTCCTGCCGGACCCCGGGCGGCAGTGGGTGGCAGCCCTTTCATATAATGATTATAATACCCAACTTTCGCGAAACTTTCGCGAAATAAAATTTTACTCTCGCGAACTCGAAAAAAAACTTTCGCGAGGGTTTCCAACATAACATTCACGGCTTTCGCAATTAAAACTCCTTACCAGGACCTTTAGATCGATCACCATATATATATATGTAATCATATAACAATAATTTCATATAAATTCAAGTTTCAACAAATCATCAGAAAGAAATGCCAAAACCCTGCAGTCGTGCGTGAACTTGGCTCTGTGGCGAGGTGGTGGGCACTGCGCCTGCGGACTCTGGGAATCTGGGCAATAAACCACCATGAAACCACCATGAAACTGCTGACTACAAATAGATACCATTTTTGGAGAATGACATGTGGCAATGTATGTTTACAAAGTAGAACTTGGTAATACATGGGAACCAGATGACTATTGGATTTGAAATGTGAATCCCAAAGACTGGATGGCTGATGTGTCCCACTGACCTGCTGCTGCAACCTGAAGTCTGGGCAATAGATGTTCAAAAGATCTATATATGTCGTTGAGGTTCCTAAAGTGGTGGACCCCAAATTTATCCAAAATGTGTCTTTTTGAATGGGGAAATAAAGGCTTGGGGTATACACCCCTATCTTAGGAAAGCCCTGGAAGGCCACAAAGAAGAAACTGGACTCGTGTTGTGTCTGCACGCATCACATTACTTCTCTCCTGACGAAGAAGACCAGTCCCATCAGGTCTCCAATCCAAATATGGCAGACAGTGGTCATGGTATGGACCATCATCCCAAAGCCCAAAATGAACCCCAAAATGGTGCTGAAGATGCTGGCAACTCCCTGGTAAACTGTGCGGTACTAATTATTCAGTTATTCTGATCCCTTCCTCCAAATATCAAATATGCGAGAGTTCTCCATTTGGCGTTCACTTTCATTCAAGCTAGGGGGAGGTGCACCACCCCCCCCCCCAGCCTTGCTCCAAGCCCGCGCAAGCTAGGGGGGGCTGCACCACCCCCCCCCTCCAGCCTTTCTAGTATCATCTTCCTGCACAACACACCATCCCTACCTCAAAAGCCTGGATATCCACCACCCCCAGCTTACCTTCAGACCATGGGAGATGCACCACCCCCCCCAGCTGTTCCCATTCCATGGGGGGGGGGGTTGCACCAACCCCCCCCCCCAGCTGTGCCCATCCAAGGTGGGGGGGGGTGCACCACCCCCCCCACCCCCACCCCTTCAAGGGGAGAGATCTGTTGTCCACTTCAAAATTGATTCGGGAGAGGAAGAGTAGGCTGCTTGAAGAGTACAGTAAGCTTCGTGAAGAGTAGGTGCTTGTGTGTGAAAATGGCTAAGACTCCACACAACCATGACAGCACATACGATCACAACAAGTGTCCATTTTTTCCTTATGGTAGTCATCTTTTCCAAACGGAAGAACAAGAAGAAGAAGACGAAGAAGAAGAAGAAGAAGGAGAAGAAGACGAAGAAGAAAAAGAAGAAGAAGAAAAAACAAGAAGAAGAAGAACGACGACAACAACAACAACAACAACAACCAACAACAACCAACAACAACCAACAACCAACAACCAACAACAACCAACAACAACAACAACAATAATCACAACAACAACAACAACAACAACAACAACAACAACAACAACAACAACCACAACCACAACCACAACCACAACCACAACGACAACGACAACGACAACGACAACGACAACAACAACAACAACAACAACATATCAAAAAAAAAACAAAGAACAGATCCAAACCAAAACGAGGTTCTTCCTGTGTTCTTTGGGGGGGAGGCGCTGCGCCCTCCCCCCCATGCCCCCCACCAGCCTTAGGAAATTTATGTGGGGTAATGTTTAAGGCACAATACAAGACAGACGACACCAGGCACAAGAACAAGAAGAAGAAGGAAGAACAACAACGAGAACAACAATAACAAGGCACAAAGGAAAAGAATCGAAACGAAACGGATCAAAGCCAGAACGCTGTTCTTCCTGTGTTCTTTGGGGGAGAGGCGCTGCGCCCTCCCCCCCATGCCCCCCACCAGCCTTAAGAAATTTATGTGGGGTAATGTTTAAGGCACAATACAAGACAGACGACACCAGACACAAGAACAAGAAGAAGAAGAAGGAAGAACGACAACGAGAACAACAATAACAAGGCATCAAGGAAAAGAAGCGAAACGAAACGGATCAAAGCCAGAACGCTGGTCTTCCTGTGTTATTTGGGGGCCCGGGGGAGCGCTGCACCCCTCCCCCCATGGCCCCCCCCCAACCAGCCCTTAGGGAATTTATTGGGGGTTAATGGATATAGCACAATACAAGACAGGACACCACAAGAAACAAGGACAAGAAGAAGACGAACGAAACAAAACAACGAGAAAAACATAAACATAGGCCAGGAAAAAGAAGAGAACGAAAGGAGGCAAAGGCTCAGAACGCTGTTCTTCCTGTGTTCTTTGGGGGGGAGGCGCTGCGCCCTCCCCCCCATGCCGCCCCACCAGCCTTAGGAAATTTATGTGGGGTAATGTTTAAGGCACAATACAAGACAGACGACGCCAGACACAAGAACAAGAAGAAGAAGGAAGAACAACAACGAGAACAACAATAACAAGGCACAAAGGAAAAGAAGCGAAAGGAAACGGATCAAAGCCAGAACGCTGTTCTTCCTGTGTTCTTTGGGGGGGAGGCGCTGCGCATGCCCCCCACCAGCCTTAGGAAATTTATGTGGGGCAATGTTTAAGGCACAATACAAGACAGACGACACCAGACACAAGAACAAGAAACAAGAAGGAAGAACAACAACGAGAACAACAATAACAAGGCAGAAAGGAAAAGAAGCGAAACGAAACGGATCAAAGCCAGAACGATGTTCTTCCTGTGTTCTTTGGGGGGGAGGCGCTGCGCCCTCCCTCCCATGCCCCCCACCAGCCTTAGGAAATTTATGTGGGGTAATGTTTAAGGCACAATACAAGACAGACGACACCAGACACAAGAACAAGAAGAAGAAGGAAGAACAACAACGAGAACAACAATAACAAGGCACAAAGGAAAAGAAGCGAATCGAAACGGATCAAAGCCAGAACGCTGTTCTTCCTGGGTTCTTTGGGGCCCTCCCCCCCATGCCCCCCACCAGCCTTAGGAAATTTGTGGGGTAATGTTTAAGGCACAATACAAGACAGACGACACCAGACACAAGAACAAGAAGAAGAAGAACAACAACGAGAACAACAATAACAAGGCACAAAGGAAAAGAAGCGAAACGAAACGGATCAAAGCCAGAACGCTGTTCTTCCTGTGTTCTTTGGGGGGAGGCGCTGCGCCCTCCCCCCCATGCCCCCCACCAGCCTTAAGAAATTTATGTGGGGCAATGTTTAAGGCACAATACAAGACAGACGACACCAGACACAAGAACAAGAAACAAGAAGGAAGAACAACAACGAGAACAACAAGAACAAGGCACAAAGGAAAAGAAGCGAAACGAAACGGATCAAAGCCAGAACGCTGTTCTTCCTGTGTTCTTTGGGGGGGAGGCGCTGCGCCCTCCCCCCCATGCCCCCCACCAGCCTTAGGAAATTTATGTGGGGTAATGTTTAAGGCACAATACAAGACAGACGACACCAGACACAAGAACAAGAAGAAGAAGGAAGAACAACAACGAGAACAACAATAACAAGGCACAAAGGAAAAGAAGCGAAACGAAACGGATCAAAGCCAGAACGCTGTTCTTCCTGTGTTCTTTGGGGGGGAGGCGCTGCGCCCTCCCCCCCATGCCCCCCACCAGCCTTAAGAAATTTATGTGGGGCAATGTTTAAGGCACAATACAAGACAGACGACACCAGACACAAGAACAAGAAACAAGAAGGAAGAACAACAACGAGAACAACAATAACAAGGCACAAAGGAAAAGAAGCGAAACGAAACGGATCAAAGCCAGAACGCTGTTCTTCCTGTGTTCTTTGGGGGGGAGGCGCTGCGCCCTCCCCCCCATGCCCCCCACCAGCCTTAGGAAATTTATGTGGGGTAATGTTTAAGGCACAATACAAGACAGACGACACCAGACACAAGAACAAGAAGAAGAAGGAAGAACAACAACGAGAACAACAATAACAAGGCACAAAGGAAAAGAAGCGAAACGAAACGGGTCAAAGCCAGAACGCTGTTCTTCCTGTGTTCTTTGGGGGGGAGGCACTGCGCCCTCCCCCCCATGCCCCCCACCAGCCTTAGGAAATTTATGTGGGGTAATGTTTAAGGCACAATACAAGACAGACGACACCAGACACAAGAACAAGAAAAAGAAGGAAGAACAACAACGAGAACAAGAATAACAAGGCACAAAGGAAAAGAAGCGAAACGAAACGGATCAAAGCCAGAACGCTGTTCTTCCTGTGTTCTTTGGGGGGGAGGCGCTGCGCCCTCCCCCCCATGCCCCCCACCAGCCTTAGGAAATCAATCTGCGCCAATGAATGAAGCAGAACACAAAAAAGGCATCAACACCAGAACGATGCTCTTCCTGTTTTTTTTTGGGGGGGAGGCGCTACGGCCTGCCCCCCATGCCCCCCACCAGCCATAGGATATCTATGTGGTCCAATGATGAAAGCAGGATACAACAAAGACGGCACCAAACAGAAGAACGAGAAGAAGAAGAAGAAGAAGATATTCCCAGATCCACTATACCTCCATATACTTTCTGTCATTATCCGAATACTACGTCTGAATCCTCAGATTTGTATCCACATGACATCTTCCGACCCATTCTCTTGAGCATCTATCCACGGCAACATATGAAATAACCATCTCTGACTTATCATTTGATTCATTTCCGAAATATCTCCCGCAGCATAACCGACTTAACCTGCAAATGTATTGCGATTGCCCCTCGGTATACCTACTACTTCTACTTCTAGTCACGCCAAAACCTTTAAAAAAAAATGCTGCGAGATGAGGGGTAGGGGGTGGTGGAGCCTTCCCTCCTGATCGTTGGAAGCTGGGGGGGGGGTGGTGGACCCACCCCGCCCTGTTTGTCGGCAGCTGGGGGGGGGGGGGGTGGACCCCCCCCCCCCCTGTTTGTCGGCAGCTAGGGGGGGGGTGGTGGACCCCCCCCTCCCCTTTGTGAATTGCTATAGTGACTATGAATGGCTATAGTGACGAAGCTGGGGGGGGGGTGGTGAACCCCCCCCTCCCTAAGTTGAAGAACAACACAAGTGAGCAAACTATCAAATATGCGTACAGCCATGAGGGAAGGGATGAAGGGACACTTGTCGGTCTGACTTTACAGGCCTCTTTGATCTCTTTGCAGAGAAGGCTTGGAGGAGGGCTTCGCCGTGGGTCTGGCCTGTTGCCATGCTGGTGACTATCCTGATCAAGCTCTGCCCCTAAGATCCCCCAAGTCAGCTGTCTTGAATACCTGAAACAAACCTACTGCGAGCCTCCACACCTGATCGAGCTTGCCTACCAAAAGTTTATTTCTGGTGTGTTCATCCTGAAGGATACCACATCCCCAAGCAACATGCTGGCTTTTTTTTGTCACATGCCAGCCATCAAACGACGAGCTGCTGGGCATCCTCTTGACACCTGTAGTAGGTGGCTCCATCACTTTGGAAACTCTTCGGATCTTCCATGACTTCAATTTCCTTCTTGGCCGTAAACCTCTGAACCACCATGGCCTTGCTCATGTCGAAGGCATTGGCCACCCCATCCCAGCGATAGATCACATAGCGTCCTCCTACTGTCAGCTCCGACGCGGTCAAGGTGCCCTTGAAGTGGCCTGGCACTGCACCACTCCGAACGTCCGGCTCTGATTGCCAGTGATCGATCGACAAGGACAGTGGTCGGATATTCACTGCATCTCCAAGAAAGCCCTGGATCGCCCAACCGAAGCCACGCTGCTTGTTGATGCAGGGGTAGCCTGAGACTGTAGTGACAGCAAGGCTTTGAGCATTCTCTTGTAGATTCGCGGACATCTGCGCGCAGCTACTCATGATTGTACATATGATAAAATCTACCTGTACGAATTAAATCTAGATCATAATATGTTTACATCCAATAGACATCTGCATCACAGTTACAGCTATCAGGAAATTGTTCTTGTTGTTTTGTAGATTGGCCAAGCCGAGCATTCGTCAATCCGGCATTCGTAACCAAGCAATTGAATGGAAACCAAGCAGTCAGCCTTTTTTCCGCATCAGAAAAGCTCTTTTGGTGCTGGATTTATGGTCCATGCACTCCGTTCGTTTATCCCTCCATGCATACACATAGACACATAGAGAGAGCTACCCTCCTGCAGTGCCAATTGGAAAAAAACACATCTATGATCATCTATGTATATCTATGGATGATTTTCCCATTAAGACTCTTCATTCATTTACAGGGGAATGTTCCATTGCCATGTTTGACTATTCACCAGTGCATCAAACAAGTACATCAGTCAGGGTTTACCGCTGGTAAATAAATACGCAACCTAAAAGACAGGCAACCAATCAGTTGGAACCCTGAAACTCACAAACAATCGATCTCATGTGATTTTTATCATCCCCATTTTATCCCATTTTACCAGCTCAAATCACACCGGTCTTTTCACTTGACAAAAATGCCTGAGGTAAGATACATGGATTGATATGGGATGGAATCTATTGTCAGACTCCCCCCAATTGACGTGTCAATTGCACCGGGTTTTCCCCGTGCACCAAAAAAGGATGCCATCCCCTTGGCACCACTAGGCTCAAGGCATTCCTATACTGAGATCACTTCTTCGTCTTTTCATATTGATAAATTTGGGACATCGTTTTCTTTGAAAGTCCCTTTCCTTTGTGATCTTTCTGAAATCTGTTCCATGGATTTTGCGGTGTGCTCTCCTTTGGAGCTACGACACTTCGGTCCACACCTGCAGAAAAAATCGGAGATTCGCCCCCCTCATCATTCCAGCGCTGCGCCGTAGTGTTCGGCCTTGAAAGAGACCCAGTAGCTGCAAGATCGCTTGCTGCTTCTGCACCACGCTGCCGACAGCCCGACTGTGAAGAGGTTTGATTTGATGCAGAGCTTGGTCCAGCACCATGCAAGCCCGAGCTTGATGATGTTGACAAGGGCATAGAGCACGGTTCAGAGATAGAACGCTCCCCATGCTGCGAAGATCGCTCACCCTGCGAGCCCGATTGTGATGGCATTCTCATTGACGTAGCGCCCCGCGTGAAGCGCTCACCACGCGAGCCCGACCGTCTTGACATATTCAATGGCTCCTCATCCGTTTCGGACTCAGCTCGTAGAGTTCCAGGACTACCCAATCCAGAGCGCAACAGCACCTGCAATCTCTTCAGACAGCACTGCGCACCTTGAAACGTCAGCTGTCCAAGATAGATTGCCCCCAGCATCATCAGCATTGCGCCACACACCCATAGAGTGTCTGAGTTGGCTTCCTGTTCCTCCTCCGCGTCCAGTCCTGACAGAAGAAGTCCACCTGTCATCAGCGCTGCAATCGCCGCGCCTCTTCCACCACTTTCCATTGGCTCATCTTGGTGATCACGGTTGTAAAGGCCCAGGTCCTCCAAGAACCTTCCAAAAGCTTGACCACACAATGGCTTAGTGAGGCCGTCAGCAACCAATTCTTCGCCACGTAGGTGCAGCAACTTCCATGCTCCACTGTCCAGCGCTTCTTTCAGAAACGATGCACGCACCCTCAAGTGCCTGGTTCGCCACGTGGATGTAGCTGTTCCATGCGCCATCCCGATTGCAGCTAGGTTATCACCATAGATCACCCGCTCCAAGCTGTTCTTTTCCATGCTTTCGCCCACCATAGACGTAATCAGAGCTTCCATCGAACGGCCAGCACTCAACGCCTCCCCATACGAAACCAATTCAGCTTCTGCAGTGCTGTAGGTCACGAAAGGCTGTTGTGACGCCAGCCAAGCAATCGGCACACCGCCCAAGCACACTACGAGGCCTTGAAGACTTTTGTGGCGACTTCCAACTCCAAAGGAAATATCTGAAAACACCTCAAGCAGATTTTCATGCCGCTCCAGCTTGAGCTGATTTCTTTTTCCCCAGGTTTCTTTTGGGGCCCCCTTTGGGTAATGAAGCCCTCCTGGTACTCCACGGACGTACTGCATGATGGCCTTTGAGATTTCGATGGATCTGCAAGGATGTTTGGTGGTTAATCGGCATGCAGCCGCCACCGTCATGGCTATGTCAGGTCGTGTCCTGGTCGAAAGCCATAGAAGAGCACCTGCCATGGATTGGGCAGTCTTCACATCCTCGGGTCTGATGATGTCAGGAGGAGTTTCACCTTCCTCAGTCAGTCGAACATGTGGATAGTCCCTTGACTTGTCAATCTCAAACCTTTGGATCATCTCCTGTTCATATTTTTTCTGACTCACCACAAATCCATCAGGTTGGCCTTGATCATCCATCACACTTTCGATCTCAAAACCACAGTACTTCACCACTCTTCCCTCCCCCGTCTTCTCGACTTCTGAGATGGCCCAGACCTCTGCAATAGCTGTTGTGGCTGCATCCAAACATCCCTCCTCAGCCGTGAACAGCAGGTCATCAACATAGACCGACATCAGCCCTGTCCAGTGGATTGTTCCTGATTCGTTGTCAACCTCTTCCATCCTCCAAACGTTTTGATCAGGTGTCTTTCTGAAGACTCCATCCACTGTTCGGCCTTGTCGTTGTCGTTGCCACTTGATCGTTGGCAAGACGTCATCCCTATGCAAGGACCAATCTCTGGGAGACGACGTGAGGCCATAAAGCGCCTTGTCGATCAGCCAGATGTGCTCGCTGGTGGCCAGTCCAAGCTTTCTGTACACAACTGGGATCTCCATAGCGGTCAATTTTTGGTTGTTTCTTCGGGGAGCGTTCAAGAAGGCTGTAGATATATCTGTACCTCCCACCACCCACTGTTTGTTGGCCCCAACTCGCAGTTGAGTACGCACTTGCTGACTGTCAACACCGCCTGCGTAGTGCTCATTTTGGTCAGGTGCTGCATAGTTCCCGCAAACCACCGCTCGACTTTTGAACGCCCCTGTCCCCGACTTCCTCGTGCGCACCATCTTCCCAGGAAGTACCTCTATGGGCAAGCCGCTCTGTCCAGCAAGTTCTTGAAGTTGGCCCTTAGTGATCTGCTTGACAGCCTTTTTCTTGTTGATGAGCTGCTCATACTCAGCGCAGATCGATGGCTTCCAGTCATCCAAGTTGGCCCAAACTTCAGCATTGCCAATGGTTCGTGTGATCAAGAACTCCTGATCCAACTTCTCATAGTCCTCTTGGATAGCCTTGTGCTGGATCTGTTGAAGTTGATTTTCCAACAGGGATCTCATCGAGATGGCCTCCGTGATCGCTCCAATCCACATGGCTTGATCCTCTGTGGTCGCGTCTAATCGGCCCATCTCGTCCCTGATGTAGTCAACCACATTGGCATGGATCGCTCGCATCGCCGCAGCCGCAGACATTGTAACTGAGGCCACCGGGCATGAGCCACCGTCCCGGTTGTTAGGCGCCTCCTCCTCCTCCCCTCCTCCGAGCTCTTCTTCATCAGACTGCATCGTCGGGGTGTCTGCCCTTGAGCTTGCTTCTGACGATGTTTGAAGTGAATCCGTGCCCAGGGTCCAACTAGATCCCTCACTTTCAACACCATCCATTTCAAGATGACTTTGAAGATATTCAGGAACTTCAAAACCATTTACAACCGCATTTGATGGGAACCCACCATTTGAACTTTCATTTAGGCCTAAGCCCCATGCCTCCCCCTCGATGTTCATCATCGACCGGATTGCTGGAACTGCAGTTTTGCTCCTCAACCGTCGAGTTGGGATTCCAGTCCATGGTGGCTGAGCTGCTCGATCACCACGCTCCTCCAGGTAGATGGCCGTCTGCTCATCGGGAATCTCGACAGGAGCATCAGATGGAGGTTGCACCACATCATCGGTGTAGAAGAAGTTGCCAGTTTTGGTGGATTGCACATAGTAGCTGGTCGTCGTCAGAGAAGAAAACTTATCAGGCCCCATGACAATCACCTCCTCCCTGGCATCACGCCAATTGGTGTACCTCTCCTGCCATGATTTGCGCAATGCAAATGCTTTGCTCCCAAAACGCAGCATTGGCCCTGTTGGAAAACCCAACCGTTGGAGCTGACTTCGGAGTCGTCGTTCCCCAACATGACGAGCACAAAGTGGCCACCGTTGTAGTGGGCACAAGTTGGCAGAGATCAGGGTCTTGACGGCCCGCTTTGTGTTGCCCACCTCCGCCTCCACGCGGCCGTTGCTTTTGAAGGAAGATCCTGATGTGAGCGTTGTGAGGATTCCCCGATCCAAAGTCCATCTTCTGATGGGCGCTGCAATCAGTTCTCTGGCCCGGTCACAATGAAGTCGTAGTAGCGGAAGTCCCAGGGCCTGGAGTCTAGCATGGATTCTGGCCAGTGCTGGAAGTACCTGATTGACCGCTCTTGACTCCAGCAATTCCACGAAGGTCAAGTTCTTGACATTCACATTGGTTGCATCCTGGACCAAACGATGCCACACTTTGTCAGCACCTCGAAGAGATTCTTCTGGAGGGCCATCTGGTCCAGGTTGTGGTGGAGGTTCTTCATGAAGAGGGTCAGCCGGCTCTGGTAGATCTTCTGCAGATTCTGGATCTGGTGGCATGTCTCCCCCCTCATCTATCAGAACATCATCGTCTTCATGTGGAACTTCAGCATTCAACGCTGCGCCATCCCCTCCGCATAAGTCCATCGACGGCAGAGAATGACCAGCTAGACCACTTGGTTCTGCTGATTGCCCCCCTCCGTATAAGTCCATCGACGGCAGAGGAACTTCAGCATGACCAACCCTTCCGTGTAAGTCCATCGACGGCAAAGGATGGTCGTGGTCTTGATCTGATTCACCTGGAGGATCAAGAAGAGGTCTTCCATCTTTCATCACAGGGAAAGTATAGCAGGCCACCATCAAGTAGCGACACTTCCCCTTCTCCTGGTCCAAGCCTGTTGTCATTTTGCCCGACAAGTCCACGGACAATGTGTAGGCCTCAGGATGGGTGATGCGCCTATGTGCTTTGCTGCGTCCTTGGGCACGAACGCAGTGCAGGCAATCTCTTCTGGCTGGAAGATGATCATTCAAGAAGTGCTGCTTCCAGGACTCCAAGGCGATCTGGTTCAACGGACGCAGTGAAGGTTGTTGGTCTGCTTGTCCTTCGCCTTCAAGTCGTTGGAGATGCCTGGTCAAAGCTGTTGCAATCGCAGCCTTCAATCCCTCCGCCCAAGCTGACCAGGTTTTGGATTCTTGTATCCGCTGTTGGACAGGTGTAGCTCGAAAGATCTCATTGGTCCGAGCTTCATCACTGGGTCCTCCACGAAGTTCATCCAGTTGGAAGAGCTCTGCAATGTTGGTTGCAATCGTGGTAGGCTTGCGTTTCTTGTGACCCATAGGATGTTGGTCCATGTGAATCTGCCGGATGTGGTACCGGGCTTCAAAATCTTTCCATTCTTGAGTTCGAAAGAAGGAGAAGTAGCCCTTTGCCTTGACATCTTCGGCATCTCGATACCTTGCAGGATCCTCAGGTTGTTCCAAAGCCAGTTGGGTAGGATCTGCAGCACCATCTCTGATGTCCTCCGCCAGGATGTAGAGTGCAAGAAACCTGAACATCAGCGTCACATCATCCAAGACCATTTCGTGCTCTCGCGGTGCCAAGGTTGGCAGTCCATAGGGGTGTTCATCAGTTCGTAAAACACCCGGGCCATCATCTCCTTGGTATCTAAGGGCACTGATCGTTCGGCAAGGAGGGCCACCGATGATGGACCTGACACGGCCCGATGCACACAACGCCAGCAAGTAGGCAAAGACATCCTTGTTCAAGAGGCTGGCCGGCACAGAGCTATTGGTGTCCACGCACAAGACCTCAACATTGTTGGTGGAGCACTGCTTTTCCCAGTAGCTCTGATTTGGTCCTGAGAAGATGTGCAACACTATGTGTTTGGCTCTTTGCAGTCTCCTTCTCTTGTGCCTGTTCCAAGGGATTTTCGTCCCAAAGTTCTCGGCCTTCAGCTGTTCAAGCCTCGGTATGAGCTTCATTATGATCTCCTCTGGCAAGTTCGGGAAGATCTCTCTCATCTTGAGGGTCATCGCTACTTCCGTGTCCAGGCGACTTGCATCCACCATCGAGGGATCCGTCATGAGGGTCTTGACGACTGCAAGTTTTCGCCGTTGGTGGACATAGTAGAGCTCGGCCCACTCCAAGAGCTTTCGACCATCATCCATAGTGATCATCGGACATCCATTGACCACGGTGACAGGAATGTCACGACCTTCATCATCATAAAGTCGACAACGTCCATCACTCCATTCAAGTTTGAAGTCGAGATCATTGAGGGCGCCCATAGGAACAATCCAAGAAGACATTTCAGTAGGATGTCCCAAGAGGATTTTTGTGCCCCTTTTCAGCCTGAATGCACTCGTGCTTCCATTGGCCAGCTGCACTTGTGTTGGTTCAGCCGCATCCCATTCAGCTTGATCTCGAGCGTAGGCCATGAGTAGCTCCTGAATCCAACAGTACCATTCCATCACCAGCTTGATCAAGACCTCCGATTTGCATGACTTTGAGGTGAGGATTCGCTGCAGGGACTCTCAACGTTTTCAACAACTGAGTTGCTTCATGAAGGAGTTCAGCCGTCTTGTCGTTCTTGGTCGCATGGGATTCAACCTCACTCCCCCCACTAGGCTTTCCATCATTCGCAGTCATAGCTGAGGAAGTTCCATCAGTTGATCCAGTTGATCCACCTCCTTCTTTTTGTATCCCTTGGGCTTCCTCCTTTTTCTCATTTGCAGCTTTTCCACCCGCAGCATTGATCACTTTTGCGGCAGCTGCACCTGCTTTTCCTCCCACATTGGACCCAGAAGTCGTTGTAGAGGAAGAAGTTGGCCCACTTCCACGTCCTTGTCCCTGTCCATTTCCTCCCCCTGAGCCGAAAGGCTCACCCGGTTTCTTGCCGTTGGCCTTCACGGGGCAGTCGACCTTCCTGTGTTCTTTGCTGCCGCATACAAAACACCTTGAAGCCTTGTCTGCATCGCTTGCCCAGCTATGCTGCCACTTACAGGCCTTTCCAGCTTTGCACCCTGCGTCAGATTGGAAAAAGCGACAGGGTTTGTCAGACATCGGACTGAGCTTGGACTTGGTGTCACCTGGCGAAGTTTTTCCAGGAGCTTCCAACTGCTTGATCTTGATCGGCGTAGATGTTGGAGTTGCCGTGGAGGTCTGAAGCAACGCAAGCGTCTCTGCTTCGGCCAGCAAACATTGGCTAAATGCCCAGAGGTTGTTGTGAGAAGGCTGTTGATCCAATTGAAGTTGCATCCTGCTCTGACTCAGTCGAAAGGCAGCTTGAGGATCTAAAGTTCCCAACTGTTGCAACGGCTGGTCAAGGGCCTTCAAGAGCAAGATCCCATCCGGCAACACCGCCTCGACCTCTTGTGCACGCCCAAAATGGCGACGCCAATTGCGCAGATTGGATGCCAGTTCCTGCACATCAGCTGCCTTGGGCATCGTCGTCAGCTGCTGCAGCAGGATCTGCTTTTCTCCAGCTCCACCCGGCTGAAATCGGATCAGCAACCTGTAGATGATTGCCGTCGTCGACAAAGCACGCTCTGTGACAAGTGCCTGCTGCTCCGTCTCCGGTATGGCCTTCAACAACATCTGAATGCCACGCTGCTCTGTTCTTTGAAATTGATGCTCCTTGATGGCATCTGGCAAAGTGGGTTGGATGCGAATCCGTTGAAGGGGTGAACTCTCCTTCCACTGAGCGTAGTAGCACTGCGCCTCCCTCAACGTGTTCTCCCACCACCACCCCGCCACACTGGAGATGTCCTTCATGGATGGAGCAATCAAGTGAAGCCAATCGCCAAATTGCAATGGGCTTGAATTGGCTGGCAACTCCGGCAACTCACCCTTGGTGTTCATGGTGGTGCCCGCATTTTCTGGCCATTGTTGAATTGGCCTCATTCCATCTCCGACTCCACCTCCCCCCACACCATGCCGCGGATGGGGACAGAAGCCTTGAGGATCTTTATGATGTAGTCCATTGACTCCAACATCCATGCCAGAAGCCCGATCGCGTTCAGGAAGAGCACCATGCACATCGAAAGCCCGATCATTTCCAAGATGGTCACCAGACATGCCAAAAGCCCGACCGTCCCCACGATGATCACCATGCGAGCCAAAAGCCCGACCGTCTCCAAGATGAGCGCCGTGCATGCTAGAGGCCCGAACTTCTCCAAGATGAGCACCGTGCATGCTAGAGGCCCGAACTTCTCCAAGATGAGCGCCGTGCATGCCCGAAGCCCGAACTTGGTCAAGGTGTTCACCATGCAAGGCCCGAGCTCGACCAAGGTGTCCTCCGTGCTCAGACGCATGCAAGGCCCGAGCTTGATCGAGATGTCCTCCATGCTCACGCAAGTGCAAAGCCCGATCATGAAGCTGATCATGCGCAGTGCAATCGGCTGCAGGCAGACCCCGTGGTTTGGTTGAGGGTCCATCAAAACCAGAAGTCCAGTACCCCGACTGTTGCAATTGGGCTGGAACTGCAACCCTATCCAAAGCAAACTTCAGGGATCGAACTTCTCTCTCCAACCAGACTTGTTTGGCCTCCCTGGCCGATAAAACCCCTTCATCATCAGGGTCACCTCTAGGTTTCCACTGTGAATCCCCCAGTTTGCCCCGTGGTTTTGACTCACATGTGTCATACAACCCACTGACAAAGCTGGAACAAACCTGAGCATCACCTCCATGTCCCTCGGCAACCATTGGAATTGGCGGCACAGGAGGCATCACTGGGTCAGGTGGCGGTGGACCTTCTGGAACCTTCGTACCACCAGGTGTAAATCCATTGATCTTTTCATTCTCGGGGCTAACCGCATCATTTCGATTCTTGTTTCGGGGTGTCCTACTACCATTGCGCCCAGGTCGATTCATTGGAGAAACCTTTGCAGTTCCAAAACTCCCCAAAGATCCCGAACCATCAATGGCGGACCATGGCGAAGAAGCTACCCCAGAAGCTGTATTTCCAACAGACTTCAACTTCAGTTGCCCTTTGAGAAACGCTACCTCATCGGCAAGCTTCGAATTTTCTCCCCGTAGGTAATCCAACATCTCAACTTCCAATGCCCTCTGGAGATCATCCCCTTGCAAGGACACTTCGGGGTCACCCAGTTTCTCAACTCCAGGCAGCCTCCCCTCAGTCTGCATGTTTCCAGTTCCAGCCACAGTAGGTTCCGTTGCCGCGGGCATTGCACCAGCCGTCTGGCAACCTCGACCCTTCCCTGTGGGAGCTTCTGACATCAAACTTCTTGGTGGGGCTAAACCAGTAGTATCTCGAATCGGCATCCCAGTGTCATCAGGCAAATTCATAGGGCGAGTTGCTTGAAGAAGGTACTCTGTTTGGGTCTTCTCTGAATGAAAAGGATTCACCAGGGAATTCGCCAAACCATCCGGGGGCATAGACCTAGCCCTTACAGACTCCATTGCGCTACAGCACAGGGCCCGTAGTTTGGGCTCATAACCCTCAAATCACACCGGTCTTTTCACTTGACAAAAATGCCTGAGGTAAGATACATGGATTGATATGGGATGGAATCTATTGTCAGAACCAGAAATGGATTCCTGTCCAATTGAAGGTTTTTCTGATTCTTCATCAAACCAAGGGGACCAATCTTTTTGGTTCCATCATGTTCCATCCCCTGCCATCAAGGCACCGGGATAGTCATGTCCCGGACAGCTCGCCTCACTTGTGTAGTCACCCGGCAAACTGGCCATGGTCCGGTAGTACGTATGGGTGCTTGCCTCGTTGTCTCAACAAGGGATGAAGCACTGCTGACCATACAGCGATGAACACATATATCATATATATGGAGGTGTCCATAAATGGTGGTACCCCAAAATGGATTGTTTATAATGGAATATCCGAATAAAATGGATGATTTCGGGGGTACCCCCCATTTTAGGAAACCTCCATATATATATATTGCGGTGCAATGTGCAACTGTCCAATCTAGCTCTCAGAACTGAAGCAGCCTACCAACCTTTTGCTATGCTTCTAAATGTTCCAGTCTTCAAGTCTTCGACTAGCAACCGAGACACATCGGTGTAGTGCAGAATCACATCATCATCATAGAAATTCTCATCTGCGAGAGGATGGTCGGAAAGAATGCCGACGACAGGCTCTACATGGGAATAAAGACCATATGGTAGGTGAGGGTAAACTGGATAATGTCCACCATTGAGCATGATCATCCACACCTCATTGGCAAGGTTGATTCCGAACAGCAATTTTCTCACGGATAGTTCACTCAAAAAAGACAAGGAGGGCCACAAGTGGAAAATACTGAGGCGCAGACAAGAGTGTGGCCATTCACAAGTTGTTTTTTGATCCACCTTCGATAGGTATCAACCTGCGGCACTGGGAGATTCTTGTAATCAAACCCCTCAGCCGCTATCTTCAGATTTTTCAAGGCCACATCAATGTTAGTCGCCAAAATCTCTTCGTCATGACCACCACCAGGGACTGTGTGATTGCGAACTTGCTGCTGAGAAATCCACGCCCCTTTGGCCATAACAGCCCGCTGAATGGACCAAGCCCCACAGTAACCACCAGCATCCATCCATTGATAACCAGGCTGAGTAATGGAGATCCTCTCAAACTTGCGTGTTGGTTTCCGGCACTCCTTCGCTATGCATGGAAAGTCCTGATCATCGCCAGGCTTGAAGCCTTGGAGCGCCTCTCTGATTTCGTCATCTCCCGGTAGGGCGAAGACAGCGGAAAAGAAAAGGCACAAGATGCGCATGGCTGACAACTCAGCAACCTCCAGAATCCTGACTCTTGCAGGAGCAAACTATTCTGATTTGAATACAGCGAAGACACGATACATGAAGTCTGTACAGTGCACGAATCACCCCTTCAAGCTTTCTCAGGTCGAGTACGACTTTCCTGGACAGTGCTGCAATTCAATCCAAGGAGATTAATTAGATCATTCAAAACTGACCCATTCGTCTTCCCCTGGCCAATTGGATCCCTGCCTTAGCCTTGGGCTTGTGAGGTGGTGGGTATGACGGTTGCTGTGGCCCCGAAGGGGCTGCAGGGGCCGAAGGGGCCGAAGGGGCCGAAGGGGCCGCAGGGGCCGAAGGGGCCGCAGGGGCCGAAGCAGCTGCCGTGGAACCGCCGGAACCAGCCGGGGTTACTGGGTCCTGCAACCCCAACAGCTTCAAGCGACGGCGACTTTACGGCCAACCGTGGGATCCACTATATGCTAATCTATATTAGTATTGATATATATATATATATACATAATTTTATAATTATATATATATATAATTACATGTGAATATATATATATATATATATTTGGGTTTCTCTAAACATGTTGGGAAACAAATACTTGATCATCTCCTTAATAATATTTAATAATGGCCATTTGGCGTACATAGCCCGCTTTCAGTCAAGCCCATATTATGACTATAGAATGGACCTCAAATTTCTGATAGATGGCAATCAACAGATAGAAACATCCCCAAGGGCTCCTGCCACACACCACGGATCTCATCGGTAAAGGGGGCTGGATCACCTGGCTCAACAAAGTGGAATGGAATAAACCAAACATTGCTTGTGACGTTGGCGAAATTTGAAGGTATCTGATACAAGCACTGCATGAAAATCCAACAAAAAGACGCCTTGGATGGAAGTTCCGTTGGTTGTGTTGGTTGTGCGCCCATTCCTTCTTAGCGGCTCCTGCTGGTCAGAAAATGTCTGAGGGGGGGAAGAAGGAAACACCCGAATGTGAAGCAAATGCCTCGGTGATACTGCACATCACCGGCCTTTCCCAACCCAGGCAGTACCTTTCAAAATACCTGCTAGTTATTGATCATTTGATTCTAGTCGTTCGGGTTTGTTACATTTGTCCGCTGGCCACAACGCCAAGGCTCTGTTCAACTGTGAACCTGCGTGAAAACATGCCATTCTGGGCCATCTGGAGGTCCGGAGGTTAGTTACTCTGTGCTCACAATCCGACTATAAAATCTCCCCTTAGAAATCTTGGTTTGGTGGTGGATCTGTTCATTTTAGGGTCCTTTCAGAAGCGGTTCTTATTGAGACTGCTTTTATGAGGCGGATAGGATAAAATATGGATAAAATATGTTCAGCACAACCCTGGCACTGATGCATTGGAAACTTCATGCTCCCCATCCTTGCGCCGCGAGTTCTCGCCAGATGCTCTCCGACGGGACCTGTTTTGTGCTTTTTCAATTTCAGATGAACGGATGATCTTTGCAATTTTCATGCTACTCCGTTGGCACATTTGACATAGATCTACAAAGCACTTCGAGACACTGGAGAAGAAGAAAAGAGTGCAACAATTGATCGCCACGCCAGCCACGAACCAAACAAATAATGCATGGTATATATGTCTTCAAACCGTTCGATCGCCTGCTTCTGCTGCGCTGATGATGTCTCGACCTCTTCGCAGGACAGAATGAACCAGAATGGGTTTGTGAAGTTTGTGGGAAATTTACGGAAATTACTCATGTGGCATATCAATTGGAAATCTCTCTCGCTCCTATCGAACCTATTGCTACTGAAAAGTTTGGGGGGTGAGACCCAAATGGGGTGAGAAAACCACCTTTAAAAATATGAGAAAACATGGGAAATTAGGGAAAATCATGGAAGAGAATGAAAAAATATGACAACATGACAAGGGACATAAAAACATGACAATTTGAGAATTTGACAGTTTGCGAGAACTGTGGCTCAAACTTCTCAGTCAGTGCGCTTGGATGGTATCCAGCACGAGTTTGCAATGTCAAGGGCTCAGGTTCGTACAAAGCCTGTGGGCAGATCCATTACATGTGATTCTCAAAGGAGAATCAGGACAGCAGTGGTCTCCTGTTTCTTGAAGGTCAAAACATCTTCAAATGAATGGGCTTCAAATGGCAGGGTCTCACAGCGGGCAAGGTAGGGCAGGGTCTCGCCCATCAAACATCTTCAAATATCTTCAAATGAATTAGAACAGATGGCAGGGTCTCACACATCAAGGAAGGCAGGGTCTCACATAAAGGCGGGGCTTCACAGAAGACAGGGTCTCGCCCACTAAACAAAGGCAGGGTCTCACAGAAGGCAGGGCATCATAAAATAAAACATAAATAAACAAAGTCAGGGTTTCTCACAGAAGGAAGAGTCTCACAGAAGGCAAAGCCTCACAGAAGCCAGGGTCTCACAGAAGGCAAGGCCTCACAGAAGCCAGGGTCTCACAGAAGGCAAGGTCTCACAGAGGGCATGGTCTCACAGACAGCAAGGTGTGTCACTCATAGCAGGGACTCACACAAGGCATGGTTTCACAGAACACAAGGTGTCACATGTTGAACTGAGGCCTAACTCCCACAGAAGGCAGGGCATCACAGAAGGCAGGGCCTCACAGAAGGCAAGGCCTCAAAGAAAGCAAGGTCTCACAGAGGGCCCAACATTATGAACAAAGGCAGGGTCTCAGAGAAGGAAGGGCCTCACAGAAGGCAATGCCTCACAGAAGCCAGGGTCTCACAGAAGGCAAGGCCTCACGGAAGCCAGGGTCTCACGGAAGGCCAAGTCTCACAGAAGGTCTCGCAGAAAGGCTTCACAGAAGACACAGTCTCGCCCATTGAACAAAGCCAGGCTCACAGAAGGCAGGGGGGTGCCAAGCCTAGTTTGGCTACAAGCATGCGTATCACATATGGCGCAATGCAGGGTCTCACACAATAGACAGGGAAATAAAGGATTCCGCACCTGAAGGTGTTTTCACCCGTGAAATCACACGCTCCCGAACTGTTGCTCTCCTCTACTGCTCCCACACGCGAGCTGCTCTTGCTCACTTTCCGGCCCTGGACACTCTTCCATAACTGAAGCTTAGGATTTTATATTTGGTCTTCGATAGGAGCAAGATTCAATCTATAGACATGCTGCACATTTTTCGATAAGAACAGATGGCAGGGTCTCACACATCAAGGAAGGCAGGGTCTCACAGAAAGGCAGGGCTTCACAGAAGACAGGGTCTCGCCAGGGTCTCACAGAAGGCAGCAGGGTATCATAGAATATAGTTAAGGACAGCTGGTAGGCAGGGATCCGCGCTGATGATCTAGTAAGCAGATTAGGTACACTTAAGTACCCCCATGATAGCAAATTCTGAGGTACACTTCTGCCCACTGGGGTGCCTTTGTTTGTATGTTGTATGTAGCTGAATCTGCCTACTGGGGCCGGGGTTCCCACCATTATGTATATAAACAAATTACATATACCTCAGAATTTGCTATCACGGGGGTACTTAAGTGTACTTGCCAACTAGATGGGCATGGGGGTACAATTCTTACTAGATATTACTAGATCATCAGCGCGGATCCCTGCCTACAGGCCATCCTTAGCTATGAATAGTATCGGTGGGAGATGCACCCTCTGCCAACTGGTAGGAGTGGCGGTCTTGATTTTTCTTGCACCTAGTATCCAATACCCCAAGGTCATGAAACACATAGTACTGCAGTAAGCAGATGGTGGGGGGGGCGGGTTTGCTTTCTTTTTCCCCTCTTCTTGGTCCTTCTCTACCCCATGATGGAACTACATTACTATTTGCTCCTAATTTGCGGGGTTGTATGGGTCCCCGTGCGGACAGGCAGCGTACATGCATACATTAAGGATAGACAGTATAGACAGTGCTAGTGCTGGTGCTAGTGTTAGTGCCAGTGCTGTTCAGCAAATGGAGCCGCGAACTGAGGCGATGTCTCTCTATCTATCTATATATCTATATCTACCTATCTACCTATCTATTTGTATATATGCACATGTCTATGTATATGCTCATTATATCCTCAATGGAAAGGAGGTGCAGTAAGCAGAAGCCACAATATGTTTCGCACCCTTCTGAGGTACACTTCTGCCTACTACCCCTGCTTGTCCAAAACCTGCGAAAATAGCCTCCCCGACGAACATGCTAAAAACACACCAAATCGGACACATTTTAGGGCAGTAGTAACACTAAATTTCCTGCCTCCTGCCTACCGGACGTCTCAGACTATAAGCCAAGTCAAGGTCTCACAGAAGGAAGGGTCTCACAAAAGGCAAAGCCTCACAGAAGCCAGGGAGGCAAGGCCTCACAGAAGCCAGAGTCTCACAGAAGGCAAGTCTTAGAGGGCAAGGTCTCACAGAAAGCAAGGTGTGTCACTCATAGCAGGGACTCACACAAGGCATGGTTTCACATCTGAAACAAAGGCATGGTTTCACAGAACATAAGGTGTCACATGTTGAATTGAGGCTTAACTCTCACAGAAGGCCGGGCCTCACAGAAGGCAGGGCCTCACAGAAGGCAGGGCCTCACAGAATGCAAGGTCTCACAGAAAGCAAGGTCTCAGAGAAGGAAGGGTCTCACAGAAGGCAAAGCTTCACAGAAGCCAGAGTCTCACAGAAAGCAAGGCCTCCCAGAAGCCAGGGCCTCGCAGAAGGGCAAGATCTCACAGAGGGTCTCACAGAAAGGCAGGGCTTCACAGAAGACAGAGACCATTAAACAAAGGCAGAGTCTCACAGAAGGCAAGGCCTCACAGAAGCCAAGGTCTCACGGAAGGCGAAGTCTCACAGAGGGCAAAGCCTCACAGAAAGCAAGGTGTGTCACTCATAGCAGGGACTCACATAAGGCACGTTTTTACATCTGAAACAAAGGCATAGTCACACAGACGCAAGGTCTCACATGTTGGATGAAGGCCTATAGCTCTCACAGAGGCAGGTCCTCACAGAAGGCAGGGCCTCACAGAATGCAAGGTCTCACAGAATGCAAGGTCTCACAGAGGGTCTAACATTATGAACAAAGGCAAGGTCTCACAGAAGGCACAGGAGGGAAGGCCTCACAGAAACGCAGGCTCTCACAGACTGCAGGGCCTGACTGAAGGCAAGGCCCAACATGTGAAAGAAGGCTGGGTCTCACAGAAGGCAGGGTCGCACATAGGACAGAAGGCAAAACTTCACATGTGAGAGAAAGCAAGGTCGGACATGTGACAAAAGGTAGGGTCAGAAGAGGGTCTCGCATATGACAGAAGGCAGGGTGTCACACACGAAAGAAGGAGGGGTCTCGCACATGACAGATTGCAGGGTCTCACAGATCTAACAGGGTCTCGCATGACAAGGCCTCACTCACTGGGCAAGCAAATTCAAATAAAGGTCGTAAACAGGCCAGAAGGGAAGGCATCAGAGAAGGCAGGGCGTCATAGCAATTTCTCGCCAAAAAAAGCATCTTGCAGAAGTCTGGGTGCAGCATGGTTTCACAGATGGCAAGGTCTCACGGAGGGGAAGGCAGGGCCTCACAGGAGGCAGGGTCCCACATCTGAAAGAAAGCATCTTATTTGCAAAGGAAGCATAGGAAAGCAAAATGTTTTTTTCCGTGATTCTTATGTTTTTCTCTTGTTTTTACCAAATAATCATGTGCCTTCCATGTTTTTCCTGGCAACCCTGGAAAACATCTAATGGGAGGGGTTTGGGAAGGATTATGGGGTGTGTGGGGAGGTGGGTGGGGGGGTTGGTGGTGGTGGAGGTGGTGGGGGTGGGAAGGGGAGGGGTTAAGGAGAATGGAAGGGGTTGGGCAAAGTGTTAAGGGGGTGTGGAGGGGGGTGGGGGGGCGGGGGTGGACAGGAGGGGGTGTGCTGAGGGAGGGAAGTCTTGCTCGCCCCGTTAATTGCGTTTTCCTCGCCCCGTTAATGTTGTCGAACGTTTGTCGGAGGAGGGGGTGGGAGGGATTAAGGGAGAATGGAAGGGGTTGGGGAGGGTGTTAAGGGGGTGTGGAAGGAGGTGGAAGGGGGTGGGGGTGGACAGGAGGGGGGGTGGTCCTGCTCGCCCCGTTAATTGCGTTTTCCTCGCCCCGTTAATGATGTCGAACGTTTGTCGGAGGAAGGGGTGGGAGGGATTAAGGGAGAAGGGAAGGGGTTGGGGAGGGTGTTAAGGGGGCGTGGAAGCGGGTGGAAGGAGGTGGGGGTGGACAGGAGGGGGTGGTGGTCCTGCTCGCCCCGTTAATTGCGTTTTCCTCGCCCCGTTAATGTTGTCGAACGTTTGTCGGAAATCTGCCCTATTCCGACCCTTCCAGCTGCTGTGAGACGCTGCCTTCTGAAAGACCCTACCTACTAGGCTTCTGTCCTGCGAGATCCTGTTAGATCTGTGAGACTTGCAATCTGTCATCTGTGAGACCCTTCCTTCTTTCGTGTGTGAGACCCTGCCTTCTGTCATAAGCGAGACCCTGTTAGATCTGTGAGACCTTGCAATGTGTCATGTGCGAGACCCTCCTTCTTTCGCGTGTGAGACCTTGCCTTCTGTCATATGCGGGACCCTCTTCTGCCATATGTGAGACCCTACCTGTTGTCACATGTAAGACCTTGCTTTCTCTCACATGTGAAGTTTTGCCTTTTGTCCTATGTGCGACCCTGCCTTCTATGAGACCCAGCCTTCTTTCACATGTTGGGCCTTGCCTTCAGTCAGGCCCTGCAGTCTGTGAGAGCCTGCGTTTCTGTGAGGCCTTCCCTCCTGTGCCTTCTCTGAGACCTTGCCTTTGTTCATAATGTTAGACCCTCTGTGAGACCTTGCTTTCTGTGAGACCTTGCATTCTGTGAGGCTTTGCCTTCTGTGAGGCCCTGCCTTCTGTGAGAGTTAGACCTCAGTTCAACATGTGACACCTTGTGTTCTGTAAAACCATGCCTTTGTTTCAGGTGTGAAACCATGCCTTGTGCGAGTCCCTGCTGTGAGTGACACACCTTGCTTTCTGTGAAGTTTTGCCCTCTGTGAGACTTTGCCTTCTGTGAGACCATGGCTTCTGTGAGGCCTTGCCCTCTGTGAGGCCCTGGCTTCTGTGAGGCTTTGCCTTCTGTGAGACCCTGACTTGGTTTATTTTATGATACCTTGCCGTTTGTGAGGCCCTGCCTTTGTTTAAGGGGCGAGACCCTGTCTTCTGTGAAGCCCTGCCTTTCTGTGAGACCCTGCCGTCTGTTCAATTTATATCGAAAGCTACATATCTATAGATTGTACCTTGCTCCTAGTATAGACCAAATATAAAATCCTAAACTTCAGTTATGGAAGAATGTCCAGGGCCGGTCCTGTCATTCTGCCGCCAACCAGAAAGTGAGCAAGAGGAGTTCGCGTGTGGGAGCAGTAGAGGAGAGCAACAGTTCGGGAGCGTGTGATTTCACGGGTGAAAACACCTTCAGGTGCGGAATCCATTGTTTCCCCCTGTCTATTGCGTGAGTCCCTGCTATGAGTGACACACCTTGTTTTCTCTAAAGTTTTGCCCTCTGCTAAACCTGGCCTTCCGTGAGACCCTGGCTTCTGTGAGGCCTTGCCTTCTGTGAGACCCTGGCTTCTGTGAGGCTTTGCCTTCTGTGAGGCCCTTCCTTCTGTGAGACCCTGACTTAGTTTATTTTATGATACCCTGCCGTCCGTGAGACCCTGCCTTTGTTTAATGGGCGAGACCCTGTCTCCTGTGAAGCCCTGCCTTTCTGTGAGACCCTGCCTTCCTTGATGTGTGAGACCCTGACTTCTGTTCTAATTTATATCGAAAGCTACATATCTATAGATTGTATCTTGCTCCTATCATTGGCCAAATATAAAACCCTAAAACTTCAGTTTTGGAAGAATGTCCAGGGCCGGTCCTGTCATTCTGCCGCCAACCAGAAAGTGAGCAAGAGCAGTTCGCGTGTGGGAGCAGTAGAGGAGAGCAACAGTTCGGGAGCGTGTGATTTCACGGGTGAAAACACCTTCAGGTGCGAGGTCCTTTATTTCCCTGTCTATTGTGTGAGACCCTGCATTGCGTCATATGTGATACGCATGCCTGTAGCCAAACTAGGCTTGGCACCCCCTGCCTTCTGTGAGACCCTGCCATTGTGTAATGGGCGGGACCCTGTCTTCTGTGAAGCCCTGCCTTTCTGTGAGACCCTCTGTGAGATCTTGCCTTCTGTGAGACCATGGCTTCTGTGAGGCCTTGCCTTCTGTGGGACCCTGGCTTCTGTGAGGCTTTGCCTTCTGTGAGGCCCTTCCTTCTGTGAGACCCTGACTTAGTTTATTTTATGATATCCTGCCTTCTGTGAGACCTTGCCTTTGTTTAATGGGCGAGACCCTGTCTTCTGTGAGGCCCTGCCTTTCTGTGAGACCCTGCCTTCCTTGATGTGTGAGACCCTGCCATCTGTTCTAATTTATATCGAAAACTGGACCAAATATAAAATCCTAAGCTTCAGTTATGGAAGAGTGTCCAGGGCCGGTCCTGTCATTCTGCCGCCAACCAGAAAGTGAGCAAGAGCAGCTCGCGTGTGGGAGCAGTAGAGGAGAGCAACAGTTCGGGAGCGTGTGATTTCACGGGTGAAAACACCTTCAGGTGCGAGGTCCTTTATTTCCCTGTCTATTGTGTGAGACCCTGCATTGCGTCATATGTGATACGCATGCCTGTAGCCAAACTAGGCTTGGCACCCCCCTGCCTTCTGTGAGACCCTGCCTTTGTTTAGTGGGCCAGACCCTGCCTTCTGTGAAGCCCTGCCTTTCTGTGAGACCCTCTGTGAGGTCTTGCCTTCTGTGGGACCCTGGCTTCTGTGAGGCTTTGCCTTCTGTGAGACCCTTCCTTCTCTGAGACCCTGCCTTTGTTCATAATGTTGGACCCTCTGTGAGACTTTGCTTTCTGTGAGACCTTGCATTCTGTGAGGCCCTGCCTTCTGCGAGGCCCTTCCTTCTGTGAGAGTTAGGCCTCAGTTCAACATGTGACACCTTGTGTTCTGTGAAACCAGGCCTTTGTTTCAGATGTGAAACCATGCCTTGTGTGAGTCCCTGCTATGAGTGACACGCCTTGCTTTCTGTGAGACCTTGCCCTCTGTGAGACCTTGCCTTCTGTGAGATCCTGGCTTCTGTGACGCTTTGCCTTCTGCGAGGGGCCTTCCTTCTGTGCTGCCTTCTGTGAGACCCTGCCTTTGTTTAATGGGCGAGACCCTGTCTTCTGTGAAGTCCTGCCTTTCTGTGAGACCTTGCCTTCCTTGATGTGTGAGACCCTGCCATCTGTTCTAATTCATTTGAAGATATTTGAAGATGTTTGATGGGCGAGACCCTGCCCTACCTTGCCCTCTGTGAGACCCTGCCATTTGAAGCCCATTCATTTGAAGATGTTTTGACCTTCAAGAAACAGGAGACCACTGCTGTCCTGATTCTCCTTTGAGAATCACATGTAATGGATCTGCCCACAGGCTTTGTACGAACCTGAGCCCTTGACATTGCAAACTCGTGCTGGATACCATCCAAGCGCACTGACTGAGAAGTTTGAGCCACAGTTCTCGCAAACTGTCAAATTCTCAAATTGTCATGTTTTTATGTCCCTTGTCATGTTGTCATATTTTTTCATTCTCTTCCATTATTTTCCCTAATTTCCCATGTTTTCTCATATTTTTAAAGGGGTTTTTCTCACCCCATTTGGGTCTCACCCCCCAAACTTTTCAGTGATATTGCATCCAAATTTTGAGAACTAAGACCCGATTGAAGAAATCTGAAGTAACCATATCATATCCCAGGGTGCAAAAGGTATCAAAGATTCGGCGACATCCACGCCACTGGAATTCCCTCCATCACAGACTTTGAGAATTTTGAGATCAGGTCTGGGCAAGCTGTGTTCACATTCCTGTTTTCAGCTCGCATGACCAAGCAAGTGTCGCTCTGTTCATCAAATTGCCGCACACAGCATGGCAACTCAGCAACTCACCATGGGTGCTGCGAAAATCCGCAAAGGCGTTGAAAGACAGGGGAACCATCTTGTCATCAGTTCATCAATCTAGAATCATCATGAATAATGTAGATACACCTAGATGGAGGTTTCCTAAAATGGGTAGTACCTTAATCATCCAAATTAGATTATTTAGTATTTAAAGGGATCTCCCTTTTCAAGAAACCCCCAGATAATATGTCTGGATCTATGTTGCAACCTCTGATCCAATCACACTGCCACCATAGCCATAGCTTCGATTCAGCTTCTCACAACGGCCCCGTAGGAGGTGCGAGAGAACATGCCAGGTGATGTTATTGATGACCGGCTCGGATGTCACGTCAAAGTCGATTGTGTCATCTACTTGGCTGCCACCACCATCTGAGGCATGAACGATATGGGTGTGGACAAATCCTCCAAAGAAGGGTCCGAAAGCTTGTTCATAGGTCAGTTGATATGTGGCTTTTGCATCCCCGCGCTTCTCACAGTGAGTGACTTTACTTCGCCATGGAAAGGGCGCAAGAAATGCCAGCATCCAGTAGTCGAAGTACAAAGGCAGCTGCAACGGGTTGTTCTTGCCACTTTCATCCGATGGCATCATCTTTGGATCCGATTTCGCCAGAAAGTCATTGATGGCCTCGACTGAATGTTTGCGAATGACCAAGCGAAACCAAAAAGGTGTCGTCTCATCTAAGAGTCGTGGATTGCGAATCACGGCGAAAGCTTCGTCAGTGTTCAGGTTCTGAAGAGTAAAGCTAATCTGAACTGGCGGTGGTTTGTGCTTGCCCACAAGCTTGATATATGCATATCTGTATCCAACAGCCGTCACGCAGCACCCCGCGGACACCAACAAAAACAGCGGCATGAAAATTGTGTTTTTTGAGGCCTTCACTACAGCTTGATCACTCAGATTCACCAGCAGGTCGATTGGTCAACTCTAGTGAAACAAAAGGCCCTAACGTCATCATTCCCACTAGTTACAGTACATACACATATCTATCATTTATCTATCTATCTATCTATCTACCTATCTATCTATCTATCTATCTATCTATCTATCTATCTATCTATCTATCTATCTATCTATCTATCTATCTAATCTATCTATCTAATCTATCTATCTTAATCTATCTATCTATCTATCTATCTATCTATCTATCTATCTATCTATCTATCTATCTATCTATCTATCTATCTATCTATCTATCTATCTATCTATCTATCTATCTATCTATCTATCTATATCTATCTATCTATCCATCTCCATCCCCCCCTCCTTCTCCCTCCCCTCCGTCCGTCCGTCCGTCCGTCGATCTATCTATCTATCTATCTATCGATCGATCGATCTTCCTAATCTAATCTAACCTGATCTATTCTAATCTCTCTAATCTAATCCAATCCAATTCAATCCAATCCAATCCAATCCAATCCATCTATCTATCTATCTAATCTAATCTAGTCTAGTCTAGTCTAATCTGATCTAATCTAATCTAATCTAATCTATTTATCTATAATCTAAATTCGATCGATCTAAATTCGATCGATCTATATTATACAATGGCTATGATCAACTTCGATGCCGCTGGGTTCCCAGTTCTCAACCGGTCGCCTCTCAATCTTAGAACGGTCGCCATGCGTCTGAGGCGGTCCTGCACCAATGGACAGACAAGATTGGTCATGTCTAGTACTTAACAATTAGAAATCATAAGTTGAATTTAAGTTGACATAATTCAACAACATCATTTTTTTGCGGGGGCATACATGTTTGAATCCTTCCCAAATGATTCAAGTGGAACTGATGAATATGCCCAAGAAAATCAAAGAAGCAGACATTGGTCGTGATTATGATGGTGATGATTGTGATGATGATGATGATGATGATGATGATGATGATGATGATGACGAGGATGATGATGATGATGATGATGATGATGATGCTGGTGGTGGTGGTGGTGGTGGTGGTGGTGATGGTGATGGTGGTGGTGATGATGATGATGGTGATGATGAGGTGATGAAAATGACGATGACGATGATGGTGGTGATGGTGATGGTGATTGTGATGGTGATGGTGATGATGATGATGGCGATGATTACACCAGGAATAACAATAATACTTTATTTTTAAAAAACAAAAAATATAAGCATCCTCATCAGTACCATCATCATCATCATCATCATCATCATCGTCATCGTCATCGTCATCGTCATCATCATCATCATCATCATCATCATCATCCTCATCGTCATCGTCATCATCTTCATCGTCATCATCGTCATCATCGTCGTCATCATCGTCATCATCGTCATACTCCAAATTAAATCTTAAGCATGCAGAAGCAGCTCCGACAATCTTCTTTAGGTGGAAACTTGAGTCTGATTTCTACAACATGTCTAACTGTGGATTGCCTCTCTACACCAAATTACCCGTGGTGCATCTGACGGAACAATGATCTCCAGTCACGTCGACTGTCCAGGTTTGCGGCTCCTCCTGGTCTTCTGGCCTCAGGATGGGATCAGCATGCCGACAGGGCTCCACTTTAGAATCTGGGAAGATCACAGCTGTCACCAGTTGATCCCCTATCTTTCCTTAGACAGCCACAGTTGGAAAAGGCCAATCCAATGTGAGATAGCGTCATTTGCACTTCAGTTGATATGACTTAGCCCTGTTGGTGCCCAGAGCAAACAAATGATGCTCTCATGTTCTGAATGTGTCTTTCCACACAAAGAACAACGGAGACTTCGCTTTGTGTTGCAAGTGCAAGCTTGCACATACAGTATCATAAACATAATATGGGGGTTTCCATAAATGGGAGGTACCCCTAAATCATCCATTTTAACCGGATGTTCCATTATAAACCGTCCATTTTGGGGTACCCCCATTTATGGATGGAAACCCCTATATAAACATAATATAATCCTACGCCCCGGACGGGTTTGAGTGTGGTAGCCGCTGCCCTGGCCGATGGTGAGCAACGGATGAAATATATCGGCTTCACCAAAACTGGGATACAGTCATCACCAAAAAAGGATAGAAAAGTCAAATCCCGTTGAAACAGTGATCATGTGTGAATTCTCACATATTATATATATATATATATGTCATATTTATATATATATATTATATGTGTCATATGCACGTGTCATCACGTTTCCATCTTTTTGGATCTTTTGTTGCGGGGTGCCATTCAGCCTCATATCCCCCAGCCTCTGTCGGATCTGTCGGTCGTTTGAGCCTGGCCCAACCACTCGGCGGGTCAGTTCTTCGCGAGGCTCCCGTGCTCGGCCGCCATTCTCACGGACCGTGCGCGTCTCCTGGCAGCCGTGGCAGCCGCTCAGTTCACGGACCGCGTCCCCTGGTGACTCAAATAGCTGGCATGGATTTTCACCATTTTTCACCCACACAAATATTCAACAGATCTAAGATATCTAAGGGAAAAACTGAAAAATGCCCATGAAATATGGGAGGGGCTCCTATATTTTGTTCCCTTAAACCAATCCATTGAGATATGGTATATAAGTTGGTTTTATCCAATTTATCATAATTTATCGCCATGTTGCTGCCAAGAAAAGATGCAACAAGCCGTGAACAGTAACTGAATGACAATTTTTTCATATGTCGTGTCTTTCCAAAACTATGGCTATGGATCAAAAACCAGTTGCACCGTGCTCCTCCAGGAAGACCTGTCGTTCCTGCCGATGATCGACGCGTCGATCGCTGTGTCTGTCAGATCGTCGAGACCTGGCATCTGGCTGGATTTCAGCAGCTTTGTGTAAAAAAAGTCCATGATTGTTGGGTTTATTACAATAATAATGGTATATATATATATACATACCAGTTTTATTGGGCCAGGGTTTACCTTGAGAGATAAAATAGCTGATGTGCAGTACCAGTAATTCTACTCTGGCAATGGAGGATCCTTGGTTTCTATCTCATGTTTTTCCAGGTTCACAGGCTGATCTTCCAGGCTACTACGATTGGTAGAGAGATGCAGAGATATCCTGAAGTTCAACATAGAACTCCAACGAATGGCTAGCGGCCAGGTTCAGTAGGAATATTATGTTCTGAATCCATGCTTGGGAGTGCAAGTTACAGTTACGATTTTTGAAAGCCATGCATATGATTGAAAGTACTCTACAGTATCTATAGGTCACACAAAAACAGCCGGCATTCGTGCATGTTCATCCCGCTACGATGGTCTCATGGGTATTGACCCTTCCCCAAAATGGAATTAACAACCAACATGGTAGTAAAATATTTGATAAATATTTGGCCATAACCAATGGTAACCAAGGGGAACCTAATGGTACAGTAAGCAATGGAAGCCAATGGTCGCGGTACGTGGAAGGTTCAAACTCCATCGCAACCAGGCGGCCTCTCCAGCGCAGGTCGCTCCTCCTTCTTTTCCCGCTGGCTTCGCTCTCCGCCGTGGTCGCGGTGGTTGCGGTGGTGCGTGCTACGACCCCGATGCCGGTCGTCGCGGCGTTTTTCTCTTGGCCTACGCCGGGGGATTCCGGGAATCACTGGAACTTGTGAATCCTCTCCCAGTTGATGCACTTGAGGGGTTGTTTTTCAGAGGATCAATCTTTGAAATTAGGTCCCCAATATCTTCTCAGCTGCTTTTTTTTGATTGAAATCGTTGCTCCAGGTTTGAATCCAATCTTCAGAGATGCCTTGAAAGTCCGAAAGTCTGAGGGCACTTCGGGCTTCTACACTTTGACAAAACCACAAGATGTTTCCATTCTAATTCTCCTGCAGTGATGGTGCCCTGCTACTCATCATCGGAGACTCAAAGTGGCAAATTCCAGGAACATATGTGTATATTCTGATATATTTTGTATATTTAATGTACAATAACCATTAAATATAGCATAAATATATGAAACTGAAAATATAAGGTATCTCACTGACACCAATCTCCATTGTCGTGGCCTTGTGGGCACTCGTGGCGCTTCTTCGCGCCGCCGAAGCGGCCGGTGCCGATGCCGATCCCGACTTCGTCTGCTCCTGCCATAAGTAATGATTTTTCATGATGGCGGAGATTTCGGATTGAAAACTGCAATGACATATCTATCTATAATATACATATAATATCATATCATATAATATAGATATATAATATGATATCTGACGGTAATACCTATGTGTATATATATATATATAATGTTGCTTTTGTTTGCATCATTGTGGTTTTCTATATATAGTATACATACGTACATATATGTTATATTATACCCGTGGTATATACTCTGACTCTTTAAAAAGTTGCGGAGCGCAACGCGGTTGCCTCCCAGGCCATGCTGAGAGCTCCTCGGCGCTTCTCGCAGCGTGATGGGAACATGGCTCGCCCTGGTACCATTTCTGGATTCCGCATGGCTCGCCCGTTGTGAACCTGGCGCCCCGTGGGTATGCTAACACTGCACAGAAACGCAGGGGAAGTTGATTCTCAAGCATGGCTAACAGACATGTTTCATGACATTTCCATATTTTTGGTAAACCCAAAATTTGATGATGAACAACCCGGGAATGGGGAATCCTCATGCTCCCTTTTTGAAAGTGCTCCCATGTTCGGGTTCAGACAGACCCATGTTGAACTCCACAAACTCTTGGGACAACGGCCAAAGGTTGAAATTGTTGCAGGAAACCCATGGGTTTTTTGCCCTAAATGGCTAAATAGAATATCGGCAGTTCCTGCAGATTTTTCCTTAAAACCAATTCAGGGATTTGGTTGCAGGTCGATTCTGCGCCTGAATCGACCCCATTCGATACCAGCTTGAGACCTCCATCAATTCTTTGGCTCCTCTGCCCGAGGCGCCAAGCCCCACACTACCGGTCATCCAAAGAAACCCTTCTTTTTGTGCGCCATGAAGATGCAAGAACATATCTTTTGTATCATGGATTGGTTGGCTTTGAGTTCACTCTATTTATGTATATATATATACTATACACACATACATGCTTACATACATGCGTACATGCATACATATACATATGTGCAAATGAATACATGTAAGGACAACATTGATTGGATTGGTCAATATACAATGATAATATATGTATATACTAGTATATATATATATAATATTCTTTTTCAGAAGCGATATGCAGCTCAAATTGAGCCACACGTCTGCAACAGCGCGCCCTTAGCTGGTTACTTATTTCAATTTCGGGGCTAGACAAGTCCATTGCTCGCGATTTTCTGCGATTCGTAAGAAGAGACGAAGAAAACGGCTGGTGTTATACCGTTGTTTCAAGGTGTGGGACACCAAGAAGTGGGGAGTTGTGAAATACGGTGGCTCTATGTGCCGCTTCGGCGAAAGTGTGCTGCTGGGGGCTCCCCTGCGAAATGGGGAAGAAATGGTGAGGGAGTGAGAAGGATTGAACATGATAATAGATTCTGCTGAGTCGGGGTGACGGAGAATGTGGTATTTGATTCGAGAGTCGGAAATACGCATGGAAGAAGGAATACAAGCTGGAAGAACGAGATATGCAAGTGAAAGGAGAAATTCATTGGAACATGGAGAATCTGAAGGAGAGAGAACACGATTTTTAGTAGGGAGTCTGAATTTGGAAAATTTGGCGAAGGGCTCTACAATGGAGGCTATCAATTTTTGTAATTTGTGCAGAGGAGTAGATTTGAGATTCTGAGCCGTGGAGTAGGATGGAGTGGACGATTTGGGTGTAGACCCGGGGTTTAAATCGCTGAGAAATGAGAGGATGTCGGAAGAATGGATCGAGTGTCTTGAAGGCGGAGGAGGCTTGAGAACAACGAAAGTTAACGTCTGGAGTGGAAGATGAAGTCGGAGTGATGAAGGAACCGAGATATTTGGCACTGGTCGGTGGGGTGAGTGGGACATCAAGAGAGGATATGTCCGGAGTAGTAAAGAAGAAGGGAGCACAATAAGAGCAGTTGCATTGTGAGTCTGAATCCGCGACAAGGGAGAGGGAAACTGGAAGAGATGCATGGATTGTGATGAGTTGACATTTAGATCCATTGAGGAGAAAACCAATTCGTGCTGCCAAGTGTTGGAGAAGATGTAAAACACGGCAGAGAGTATCATTAGTTCGAGCAATGAGAACTGTGTCGTCAGCATATTCAACATCAGTAAGTGGGTGTGTGAATGAAAATGTCAAAGGAGTATATGAGAAGATTTCTTGGATGTATATTAAATATAATATACTATATATATAATATATATGATATAATATATATATATATTATTATATATATAACATACATAATATATATAATATAATATATATATATAATATAATATATATAATATGATATATATATATATAATATTATATATATAATATATAATAGATATAATATATATATATAATATATATTAATATATTTATACATAGAAGGACGTCAAAGCCGTGGCAATTATTATGCCTATGCCATTGCAATATCATCAACATCCGCCATTGCCCAATTTTTTGTCTCCCTAAGTCTGGATGTTTGTGAGACATTCCATGATGTTCCACTTCCACTGATACTGTGGTTGGTTGCGAAATCCTGCACCACCGATGGTTGAAACCCTATTAACAGTGGGATAAACATGTATAAACCACCTATCAACTGGTGCAGGATTTGTTGACCACTTCCCTGTCCCCATCCTTGGTGCGCTGCGCTCATGCCGTCGTGGTGCCGACGGTGCGGACGGCGCGGATGGCGCGGATGGCGCAGGGGGCGCAGCGTCAGCAGCGCTTCGTGCAGGCCTGGAGGGTGAGGTAAATTACTTGACATCAGAGATGTGGGTAATCCAACAATAATAAACCTACTGTATATTGTATATACTTTTTAAGGGACTGTTTATTATTTTTACCACATTATCTATAACATAGTATCTATTATAAGTACTGTATATCAATACTACGTTCTACAAGTACCATTGGATCATATTTCATGCTTTGTGTTTGACTTAAGACATAGTTCAATATCTATGATTCTGTGTATAGTATAAATCACAGTAATATATCAATTGCTCATAATACTAAGATATACGCATGATTACCCCTGATTTACTAATATTATGATAATCAATAGTATGTGATAACATTAGTGGTGCGACAATACTGATAATACTAATGATAATTTATATATCATAGTGTATAATATAACTATACTAAATAACTATCATTTATATAATAATTGTCCATAAATTAAATAGTAACTGTTTTTTTCAGTATCATAAATTAAACGTGAATTAATATCGATTACCAATATGGTTATTTAACATAGCCATGGAAAATCACCATTTTTAATAGGTAAACCATCTATAAATGGGTCATTTCCCATGGCTATGTTAAATAACCAGAGGGTAATATCACAATACTCCAGGATATATTCATAGCATATGTGCACCTCTCAGGGCTGGAGCTCACAGAGGTCACTGAGAGCCGCGAGGAATAGGCCTGGCGCGGCTCGAGGCTCGGGGGGGGGGGTCCATCAATGGGGGTACCCCAATAGCTGGATCGTTTTTTTTTACGGTTTATCATGGAAAATCCCATCTATAAATGGATGATTTATACTGGTATCCCCATTTTAGGAAATCCCCTATGGATTACTGATGGGAACGATGACTGAATGGAATTCCCTGGGGTAAACATGGGGAAAACCTATGATGATGATCTACAATTAGATGATTTTCCACATCGAACCGTGAGTTTACTGGAGGGTAACCATTCAATTCTTGACCATCCAAATCTTAGTTCATTGAACCGATTGGCGAAATGGATTAACTTAGTATGGACCATCTAATTATGTGCTTTAATTTTGACTCATGCCATCTCATATTTACATTGTAAGATCACTACCCTTTTAAGGAGGGGGTGCGTACCCAAATTGCAAAATAAAATTTAGACTTGGCAAGCATTTATTTTTCTAACTGCGTCTTATTTGCACGATTTCATTTTAGTATGTCCCCTAACTCTTTACGGGATTTCATTTATTTTCTTTAAAAACGCAGGGGGGCGTTCAATATTGTCCATTGCATTTTTTAAAAAAACATGTAAGAAAATGAAAAAAACATGTAAAAAAATAGTGTTAAGTTCTGCGCAAATAGCTGCAGAATTGCAGAAAATCAAAAATGCAAACTGGAAGTGAGTAGGTCCCCAATTGCCTGGTATTTCCAATACATTCTACACTTTTTCCACACTTGTTTATCATTTCCACATGTAATATAGAGGTATAGAAGGTATATTATTCCTTGCAAATTACTGGAAAATCCTTGAACTTCAAATAAATGTAAAATTAGATGTTGAAGGTCTTCAATTTTTGTTGAACGCCCCCCTTGCTTACACCCCACGAAAAGGGTGGTGATATTGTAAGATGGATTCTAATAGCAACTGGGCAATCAAACCGGAGATATAGCTGGCAAACAGATGCAAACACACGCAAAACATCGCTGGCTGCTGGTAGAACAAGCAGGTAATATGAAGGATTATGAAGGGAATGAAAGGGACATAAGGACGTAAAATCACAACAATTGGTTGCATTGAAAAAAATAAGTGTCGATGTCATCGTTGAGCCATCAATCCCAATATATCCCAATAATATGTCGTCAAGCGGGGATCATTGTCCCAAATCAAACAGTTTCGCCCGTGTGACGTCGCGGCTCTTTGTAAATCTGCACCCCAAAGTAAGGCTGGAGCGACCATGACAGGTAGTGGCTTTCGTAGTGTAACCATTCCGTCTTCCTGGGAAAAGCTCATTGGCAAGATTTAGGAGTTTCCTAAAATGGAGGATCCAAAAAATTGATGATTTGGGGGTACACCCATTTCAGGAAACCTCCATTTGACAACCGCAAGACCCTGCTGTGTCTGTCAAACCTTTCTCTGTCAAACCATCGGAAAGCCATAGAAAACCATGGAAAACCATGTTTACCGTCTGGGTATAGGGCGTTCCTGGCAAAAAAAAGTCAACTTCTAAATTCTGGCATGATCCGGTCGACAGCATTGGTCAACCTGGGCCTCGCTGAAAGATGCAGCAGACTGCAGCAGCTGCTTATCCAGAGTGGCATCTCTGGACCCAAGCACCTCTGCTTGACGCTGCCGGAGGGATCTCTTATGATCTCTTTAATCATATCAAAAAAAGCAGACATGTGGCAACATGTGGCTGTTTTGCTCCACAAGTCGAAGTAATCGAAATCCCAAGTTGTGATATTCGGAAGACATCGGAAGGTCCCGAAGTCGTCGACGCCTTTGGCAGCTCATCCATTAGAACTTCCCAGCTCTGCGAAGGCTTCTGATTCTCCTGGTTCTCTCCCGTCCTGACAAATGACTAGTGGAGATGCAAACACAAACAGTGCACTCTCTGAAAGAATTGACGAAAAAGGGATCAGCGCGTTTTGGATCATATTACTTATATTACTAGACCTTTGGATTTGGATGCGTTTGGAGAATCTTGAATGACTTTGTTTGACACGTTGAGACCTCTGGTGAGTCGAAATGATATCAGTGCTTGTTTGAGCGATCCAGATTCCCTTCAAGTCACAGGTCAACTTGGAAGCTTTGGTCTTGCCCTCTGAAAATCATCCAACAGTAAATATCCGATCCCACAAAACCAACTTCCTGTCATAACATGGCAGTCTAGCAGCTATTCCCTGAGCATAGCCGCCCTGACTCAGTTAGTAGCTGGTGAACAACCCTGGCCAGTAAGTTCCCAAATCGATTTATCGAACTAGAAAATCAGCTACCCTCCACTAATCCAGGCTACTATTTTACGGATAATCTGTAGATGTACCCCATGTACCTCTTGAAAATGGTGAGTTTCCATCATTTTCCAGGTATGTTAAAATCCATTAAAATCCATCGAAACCCATTGAAACCCATCCAAATATATTAAAATCCATTAATCCAAGTAGCCAGGTTCTCAAAAAAAGGGTCAGGGCAGGGATTGCCAACACATCACTTCGCTCCTTGAAGAGGCAAGGAGGCGACAAACCGACTCCTGGCGCGGTTTATATAGATCGTACCCAAAAATGGTTGTCCCCACAAAATCAGATAGAATATGTGGAAACAATTTTAAACTTTTGAAAGTCAGTATAAAAGTCAGATAGTTTCGATTTAATACGTCGGGGGTCTTTGTTTTTGTACCCTCCAGATCCATCCAGTAATCCAACCTGGCTGCCTGGAACATCGCACGTTCCAGCACTAAAATCAGGCCATCTGTGGGTCGGAAGGCCCCTAACGCACCTGGGTCATCCAAGATATGGGCGAAATCATCATTTTCCCAGATTGAAAATGGCAATCAATTGGGGATAATAAATCCACGTGTTCAGGTACACCCAAATTTGTCATCTTCTTGGTCATACCCCAAGATAATCCAGAATATCCCAGTGTAAACCCCATTCAATATGCCCATATCTACGGAACTCTTCGAGAACAGCAGCGAATGCCCAAGGCCTCGCCTCCAATGGGGATGAGGAAATCCTGCCAAAGAGCAGATAGTATGTATAATGTATAATGTATAATGTAAAGAATATATAATATATAATATATAATATATAATATATAATATATAATATATATAATATATAATATATATAATATATAATATATAATATACAATATAAAATATACAATATATAATATATAATATATAATATATACAATATATACAATATATAATATATACAATATATACAATATATAATATATAATACACAACATATAATATATAATATATAATAAATAAATAAATAAATAAATAAATAAATAAATAAATAAATAAATATATTATATTTAATATATATTATAATAAAATATATAATATAGTACATAATATAACATCTAATATCATATATAATATAGTAAATAATATAATGTAATATGATATAATATGATATAATATAATATAATATAATATAAAATAATATGATATGATATGACTTAATAATAATAATATAATATAATATAATACAATATAATATAGCATAATATAATATAATATAATATAATATAGTATAATATAATATAATATAATATATATATATATGTATGTATGTAATATACAAAATATAATATATATATATATATTATATATAAATGTATATAATATATATATAATGTATATAATATACATATATATATGCAATGTATATATAATATATTTGTATATATATATATATTATATACGTAATATTATATATATATCTGTGTGTAAACATAATATATATATATATGTATATATTACGTATGTTTATATATTGTTTGTTTATATACATATGAGATATGAACACACATAAACACACCTTTGATTCAACCATTGCGGTATCGCCAGTGTCGCCTGCAAACCACCCGCTGCGAGTCTTCGCTGACCTGCAGGCTGTGCTCATAGCACCTGGACCTTCCAAACCTGGAGAGGATAAGCTGCATATACACCGAAATCATCAAAAATAATGAAAAATAAAAATAAAAAACAAACTCCAGTTTCACAGGGAGCTCGGCTCCCTAAGCGAGAAACGCCACTCCCAGCTGCCTTGAACAAGACAGATTCAGCCAGGAGCTGTTGCATGTCATCTTCCTGCCGCGTTAGCGGCCGGCTCTGGGTCCGGGTCCCCGAAGGTCCCCGAAAGCCGGGGGACGCCCAAGGCCCAAGGCCTCCACCATCTCGGCAAAGATGTCTGGGAAGTTGTCCTCAAAATGGGCTTTGATACAGTGTACTATGAACACTGGGGTTGAAAAGACGGAAAATCATACCCCAAACATCATAAACATCCAAGGCAATACTGCACCCCCTGATAATTCAACATAGCTATGGAAATCACCAGAGGTAAACCATGACAATCATGTATAAATGTGCCGTTTTCCATATTAGATGATGGAAGGTGAATCTTACCATTTCTCTAGGTGGTTTTGGATGCTCTTCCAGCAGTCCCTGTCCTGGATATGACTCAACACATCCATCGATGGCCACCCTTCAGCTCGATCCACCTACCAGAGTGGAGCTGTTGGTTGGGGTAGCTCGGTATTTCATATCATGGTTGTCATGGCTAATCCCATCCCCCTAATATTAAACACCCCCTAAATGGTCCCAATTGATGTGGAAATCTCCTACTAGACTATGGTTTCTAGAGGGGTTAATATCAGGGGGAAGGGATTATATAGTCGACTTGGTTGCGGTCACCAGCAAGTTTTTAGACTTCAAACAAATGTGTGTCCAGCCCTTTCTTGTGTCAGTGACAGGGGAAAAAAAGATAAACACCAAGCCATTGAAAAGATATGGGAATGAACCACGGATTCAGTTCATGTTCGGTATTCACCATCCAATTTTTTGAGGGATCTATTTTTTTCCCAAAGGTTCATTCCAGCCTCTGCAGGAGTTGATTCTTGGGCCAAGCAGCGGATGCCGCAGAAGATGGCCTAATTGAGTGGGAAAGTGAGGACCAGGATGGTCATGGAATTTGGTTGATTTCTGACAAATGGTGGTTTGATCATGAAAGGTTAAGGCAGGCATCCGCATATTTCTTTTTCCCCCGATACCTCAGGTTTCGTTCTTTCTCTAGCGGGTATTCTGTTGACAGCATTTTTATATGAATATATAACAATGGGTAACAAGTAACAAACTAGAGGTGGGTATCGAAGATGACCCTGTCACTCTAGTAGAAATATAGTTGGGTCAAAGAACAACTTTGATCCACAAACTAACACCCCTCTAGTCACAAACATAGAAGGGGGTATATCCCACTAAGCCTAAACCCCCATCACCCCGCAGAGAGGATCAGGGAGAGGAGGGAGGGAAACAAAAAGGCCTCTGGTGAACTTGAGCCAAAATTGGCCTCAAGTTCACTTCCTTACCTTATACCTTTCAGATCACATGGGGACCCTACCCAACCAACCTACTCGCATGTGAGATAAGAAAAAAATGAAAGGTTTACCATCAAACATGATAAACATGGCTATTTAGCCTGACTCTCAAAGCTGGTGATTTTTCCCCAGACATCCCGATAATGTGATGATCAGTTGGTCTCTCAACGGGTGAAGGGTGATTTACAATCAGGACTTGGATCAACAAAAAAAATACCCAAAGAAGTGGATGTCCTTTGTCTTTGATCACGAGCACACCTAACCCTTATATTATACATGTTTTCTAACCTCTGCGTCTGCAAGACCTTATCCCTCTCAAAAACTTATGCCTAACCTTCGTAATTTGTTCACTTCTATGTTTCAATTCCTTAACCTTTACGCACAGCCCTCCAAACCACAAAACCTTTCTAACCACAAATGATAATAAAAGTTAGCTAATCTCGCAGCTGAAACCATGGTTAAAAAACGGGACTATGGAAAAAAAAACTGTCATGGAGTCGATGCAGGTTTTTGATCTGGAGAGTTTTCTAGAGAGGTTCTGCTCAGGCTTTTCACATCCCGCCAGCTCATTCTGAGGCCTTTTGCAAGGTCAGCCCATGAACTTTGAAAATTGACCGCGCAGAATTTGTATGTGACAATACGATTGGATGTCGCATTGCATTTTGACTAGGGCCAACTCTTGTTCCACTGTGCTTTCGGGCCTCTAGCCAATTCTTGTTAGCGAAAACGTGTGTAAGGGTTGGAAATGGCCCTCATGTCTTGATTGGGTGAGTTTAAGGAACATGTTACCGGAAATCCTCCTTGTTATCACTGAAAATGGGGAGTAAACCCTGTAAATTGTCCCATCTCATTCAGTTCCAGCAATATTGAGTATAGGTTGTAGCCAGCATCATCATTTGTAAAAACAAAATATCCTATTGAAATTACCATTTTGGAGTATCCCCCATTTTAGAACACATCCGTATTGACCCGAAGTTATTCAACATCCGCAATAATTATGTTAGATATCCACATATTTCCAGAATCCAAATATATACAAAACAAATATTGTAATGTTGTCAACAACTTCCCCAAATTTGGAAGTCTAAAAAATCTTCCGCAAAGTCACCTCTTCAAGGTTACTGCCGGCCAGAAGCACCTGTGACGAGTCGGACATTGGCATTTCAAGACCGATTTTTTGGAGGTACCTACCATAAAGCCCATGTAAGGGCTAAATTTCATGGAATATCCCCACAAAATATGGCCAAACATATGATACAGTACTTTACTGTACCTCCATTTTACGGTCCTGAAACTCTTACTGAATATGCTGAATATGCTGAATATGGATTGATCTATGGGAAAACTTACACGAGACCATTGTTTGACCTGTCCCTATACGAAAACAAACCCCAAACCCATCTCAAATCAGGTTGCTTCCTCATACACCTCACGTCTGCTTTCGCTATCCTGAGTTGAAACATTCACTGCTGGCCAACTCTGTTTCAAGTAAATGCATATCATGTATCATCATAGTATCTGTAATTTATTTAAAATTATATGTGTATATATATATAGGTATGCGAATGCATATAGAATTTTAACATAATATTATATAATATTAATATATATATATATATATTATTTTTATCTAATATGTCAGTGTGTACACTTGAAATTCCTCTTTGGAGTTGCCATGCCCCGTGTCCTCACTTGGCTTCAATTTTCTGCAGGGCCCTTCAATGCGACTTGGCTTGGGCTCGGATGCCGAGCAACCGAAGCTTCGTTGATCCGTGGCCATCTGGGTCTGAAGAGGGATGAAACACCAACCGCGTTGTGAATTTCATAGTGAATTTCATTGGGAAAATGATGATCATTCAATGGTTGGATTGGGATAGCCGGGATAGCCCATGGACAGGCCCATTTGGCGTTGCTCAACAGCTCTAGATTGACCCGACTGACTATGGTGGATCGGGATAGTGAATTGATGATATGATGGCATTATGATGATGCGTGCGATGATCAGGTAGTGATAAAGAAGAAGGAAGAGGAAGAAGAAGAAGAAGAAGACGAAGAAGAAGATGAAGAAGTTGCTTCAAGAAGTCATGGACATATGATATGTCTGTTCCGTTGCAAGCCTTGTGCAGTACCTGCAGACATGTCTGACAGTCGTCCCACTTGACGTCGTCATGCTTTGGGAGGCAAAAGCTGATATGAATTCCGTCGGTATCAACAGCAACGAGATGCGTTATATCTCAAACAAGTCGATAAAAATTAACACCACATCCCAAAGCAAAACTGACCACGTCGTTGATCCATTCAACTTGCCTACGGCAAATTGATGTTCTCACAGCTCACAAACTGGCTCTGAAACTATCTCATGAAGCGGGCACGCAGCTCCATGGCCTGCTGTTCACCTTTGAAAAAAGGTACACCCTATGCGTTGACGTTGAAAGATGTTGAAACGGAAATCAACCAAGTGCCTCAATTCCATGCGATTGATCGTAATGGCCCAATAATGGAAAAACCACTATAATATACTATAAAATTATATACATGGAAAAACATGGAAAAACCACTATAATTATATACACCAATCTACAGCCTACAGCAGCAAGTGGCTCGATGATATTTGATATAGTGTTTTTTCTAGGCCAAGCTTCGGAGAAAGTGCACAAACGCTGCCAGGGTCTGGGGATCTACACGAACCATGCCGTGATTGACCTTGATGCGTCCAAGTTCATCGCCGGGAATATGTGCGGTATCCACACCGAACCATCCAATAGGATCAATAGGTGCCATGGTGAACACACCAAAATAATCAAAATAGCTCTTTATGGCAAACTTTATGGATCTTCATCCCCCCAAAGATAGCCAGGATAGCCTGGTCTCCGGCTTGGCACGTGATCTCTGGCCCTGCGCGTCTGATTTCGCAACCTTCAGCCCAGCTTGCTTCCCACAAGCTGTCGGCTTGGTTGGAAGATGCAGCCAAAGGGCTCTGGAATAGTCAAATAGTCAAATAGTCAAATATGATCAAAGATTCTGGCACCATAGCTATGGAAAATCACTTTTTTTTAATAGGGATTGTTCATCGAACATGTTCCATGGCTATGCTAAATTACCAGATTGCAAGAAAGCAACTCCCAAATAGATAGACAAACCCGGAAATTATGGGGAATACATCATGGAACTACTGGAAACGCTTTTAAGCATATTTTTGGGGAATACTGTAGATCATGGCTGCAAACACCTTCTGCACTTCAAATGAATTTATTGAACTCAGAAAAATGGAGAGGTAGTTTGACCAGTGCATCAGCACTCTCGCTAATCAGTAATTCGTGACAGGGCATGATCCATGATTCAGCGTGCAGCAATGCGCAGAGAGTGCGCCAAATGGTCCTGGCTCTAAGTGTCGTCGGAAACAGAATGGATGATCATGGACTTGTTTTGGCATGTTTTGGCAAGGTGGCGTGAGGTCTCATAGCGAACCTCCAATGCTGTGAATATCTTCTCAAGTTGATTCCAGTGGAATCTGTGGTAACCACCTGGTAACCTGCTTCACATTCGGATCATTCAGAGCCCCCTGGTTCTGCCTCGAGTATCTGCTGTGGGGCAGCAGTCAAGAGAAAGGCACCAGCAGTGCCGAAACGACATGGTCGCCTCTCAGTTGAAAGGCCGAGATGCGCTGGATTGCCTTGGCTCAAAATGGGGAGGGACCTGCATGTGGTAACCCAATAATGAAACCATCTCCAATTTTATCAGAAACGTTTGGCATAAGCCATCCAAAAACAAGGTGGGCCAGAGAACCCAAAAGCAAGATGGCGCACAGCACGCCTTTTCTTGAAAATCTTGGGGTGTGGCCAGCTTTGCTCTGCACGAAATCGACGTAAGATCTTTACTTAAACATCGTGCGCACTGATGGTATCAGGGGCCACGATTCACCACAGCATGCTGTGTCAGCTACGCCTACCGTCTTCTAGTCGCTATTTCTGTTAATGTAATTAACTCTATCCCATCTGTCTAGTCGCTATCTATTTCTGCGTTCTCGTTTAGTTTGCTTCGCCGCAGAGGGAGCGAGCACGAAGCGTGGACGGACAGAACGAAATGAAAATTAAACGACAGAGGGAGCTGACCAAAAGAGCATGAAAACGAAGATATATATGAAGGTGACAGATGGCAAATGATCATGAAAAATGAGACATGATAAAAGATGGGTAAAGACTTCTCTGTACAAAAGTTTCTTTGCATAAAAGCTTCTGGCAGTAAAAGCTTCTGTGGGCAAGAACTTCTCTGTGTAAAGGTTTTTGGTGTAAAAGCTCTTGTGTGTAAAATCTTCTGTGTAAAACGCGCTCTGTGTCTAAAAGTTTCTGTTTGCGAAAGTTTCTTTGCGTACCAGCTTCTGTCTGTAAAAGCTCCTCTGTGTTAAGGCTTTGTTTGTGTAAAGCTTCTGTGTGCAAAAGCTTCTCTGTGTAAAAGACTTCTCTGTGTCAAAGCCTCTGAGTGTACAAGCTTCTCTGTGTAAAAGTTCCTCTGTGTAAAAGCTCCTCTGTGAAAAAGCCGCTCTGTGTAAAAGGCTTCTGTGTGTAAAAGCCTCTGTGTGTGCAAGCTTCTCTGTGTCAAGACTTCTTTGTGTAAAGATTTCTCTGTGTAAAAAACTACTCTGTGTAAACGCTTCCGTGTAAACTCTTTCCTGTGTAAACGCCTCCGTGTGTAAAGACTTCTCTGTGTAAACCCGTCTGTGTGTAAAAGCTCCTTTGTTTAAAGGTTTTTTTGTGTTAAAAGCTTCTGTGTGTAAAACCTTCGTAAAAGTTTCTGTGTGTAAAAGCTTCTGTGTGTAAAGGTTTCTGTGTGTAAAAGCTTCTGTGTATTAAAAAAACCTTATGTAAAAGCTTCTGTGTAAAAAAGCCCCCTGTGTGTACAAGCTTCGCTGCGTAAAAGCTGCTCTGTGTAAAAAATCTGTGCGCCGTAAAGTTGTCTGTTTGTAAAACCTCCTGTGTGTGTGTGTGAAAGCGTCTGTGTGTACAAGATTCTGTGTGCAAAAGCTCCTCTGTGCAAAGACTTCTCTGTGTAAACGCGTCTGTGCGTAAAGGCTTCTCTGTGTAAAGGCTTCTCTGTGTAAATGCGTCTGTGCGTAAAAGCTCCTCTGTGTAAGACTTCTCGGTGTACAAAGCTTCTGTGTGTGAAAGTTTCTGTGTGTAAAAGCTTTCCTGTGTAAAAGTTTTCTTGTGCAAAAGCTCCTGTGTGAAAAACTTCTCTGTGTAAAGGCTTTTTTGTGTAAAAGCTTCTGTGTGTACAAGCTGCTCTGTGTTAAAGTTTCTGTGCGCCGAAAGAATGTCTATCTGTAACACCTTCTGTGTGTAAATCTCGTTTGTGTAAGGACTTCTCTCGTAAAAGCTCCTCTGTGTCAAGACTTCTTTGTACAAAAGGCTTCTCTCTGTAAAAGCCTTTGTGTGTACAGGCTTCTCTGTCTCAAGACTTCTCTGTGTAAAGACTTCTGTGTGTAAAAGCTACTCTGTGCAAAAAAGCTTCTGTGCGTAAAGGCTTCTGTGTCAAGACTCCTCTGTGTCTGTGTAAACGCGTCTGTGTGTCAAAGTTTCTGTGTAAAGGCTTTTTTTGTGTAAAAGCTTCTCTGTGCATGTCCCATTTTTCAGCCTTTGCAAACCGTTTGACCGGTCTTGGGACCATTTGACCAGTCTTGGGTCCACAATTTTTTCAGGCCAATCGCAATGATGGCATTTGTCCTGAAAAAACCCGTGCCAACAGTTCTGCCGCAAACTATTTTCAAGGTTTCCTATCCGTCCAGCATGCTGTCTCGCTCCCATCCAGCGCACTTTCCCCAAGCTATTTTCCACGGTTTTGTCCCGTCCAGCATGCTGTCCCGCTCCCTCCCCGCGCAGTTTCCCGAAGCTATTTCCACGGTTTTGTCCCGTCCAGCATCCGGTCTCGCTCCCTCCCAGCGAAGTTTCCCCAAGCTATTTCCACGGTTTTGTCCCGTCCAGCATGCTGTCTCGCTCCCTCCCAGCGAAGTTTCCCCAAGCTATTTCCACGGCTTCATCCCGTCCAGCATCCAGTCTCGGTCCTTCCCAGCGAAGTTTCCCCAAGCTATTTCCACGGCTTCATCCCGTCCAGCATCCGGTCTCGCTCCCTCCCAGCGAAGTTTCCCCAAGCTATTTCCACGCTTCATCCCGTCCAGCATCCGGTCTCGCTCCCTCCCAGCGAAGTTTCCCCAAGCTATTTCCACCTTCATCCCGTCCAGCATATCCCAGCGAAGTTTCCCCAAGCGGCTTCATCCCGTCCAGCATCCGGTCTCGCTCCCTCCCAGCGAAGTTTCCCCAAGCTATTTCCACGGCTTCATCCCGTCCAGCATCCGGTCTCGCTCCCTCCCAGCGAAGTTTCCCCAAGCTATTTCCACGGCTTCATCCCGTCCAGCATCCGGTCTCGCTCCCTCCCAGAGAAGTTTCCCCAAGCTATTTCCACGGCTTCATCCCGTCCAGCATCCGGTCTCGCTCCCTCCCAGCGAAGTTTCCCCAAGCTATTTCCACGGATTCATCCCGTCCAGCATTTCCGCTATTTCCACGGCTTCATCCCGTCCAGCATCCGGTCTCGCTCCCTCCCAGCGAAGTTTCCCCAAGCGATTTCCACGGCTTCATCCCGTCGAGCATCCGGTCTCGCTCCCTCCCAGCGAAGTTTCCCCAAGCGATTTCCACGGCTTCATCCCGTCGAGCATCCGGTCTCGCTCCCTCCCAGCGAAGTTTCCCCAAGCTATTTCCCCAAGCTATTTCCACGGCTTCATCCCGTCGAGCATCCGGTCTCGCTCCCTCCCAGCGAAGTTTTCCCAAGCTATTTCCACGGCTTCATCCCGTCGAGCATCCGGTCTCGCTCCCTCCCAGCGAAGTTCCCCAAGCTATTTCCACGGCTTCATCCCGTCCAGCATCCGGTCTCGCTCCCTCCCAGCGAAGTTTCCCCAAGCTATTTCCACGGCTTCATCCCGTCCAGCATCCGGTCTCGCTCCCTCCCAGCGAAGTTTCCCCAAGCTATTTCCACGGCTTCATCCCGTCCAGCATCCGGTCTCGCTCCTCTGGGGTGGATTTAGTAAGGTTCTTTGCGCTGATTGGTGGTGCTTCTATGTTTTAAGACATGGTTATAGAGTTGGTTTTTAACATATGTTACAAGTCATTCAGGGATATGTATGTGTTGCCCAAAACTCTCTTGATTTAACATATTGGAGAAAACGTATTGCTTCAAACATGTTTGTCTTGTTTAGATGTTACTGTTTCCATGATCAACTCATGTAAATTCATATGTCACATGCCTTGCCGAAGGCTAAACCCTCCTGAGCAAAGATCATTTACCAGTGTTTCCATAATGAATTCAGATTTCCTGTCCTGGCCAAGGAGGTACACCTTCCTGAGCAAGGATTTCATTCACAAGTTTTCATTATCACACCTCCTGACCAGGACCAAGGAGGTGCACGCAACAATCATTGACATGTTTTCATTATCCATCAGTGTCCTGACCAAGGAGGTGCACCCTCCTGAGCAAGGATCATTGACATTCATCATATAAGCTTCCTTGGCCAAGGAGGTACACACTCCTGAGAAAAGTGTTTTGTGAACTTCTTTTTTTTTGCCACGCTCATTGCGCAGAGAGGCTTCTATAGTTTCCTGGACAATTGGTCAACACCAGCAGCTACTAGGGGGAAGTCACGCAAGGAGGCTCCTTAGGTCTCCTGTGTCAGTAGCAGCGTTTTCTCAACCAATGTTTTCAGCCATGTGTCAGACGAGCCAAGCGACAAGATTTGGCCAGCTCCTCATGCCGGTGAGCCCAAAGAGGTCGACTTTGTTTTGCAATTCTGAGAAGCCATGGAAGCAGGATGCAGCAACCTCAGCCCAGATGGTTCAACAGCAGCTTCTCCGCAGGGTGGGCTCAAAGACAAGCATGGCTATTTGATGAACAGCGCATCTTGACTGCACCAGAAGTTTCGACTCTTTTTGCTCAAGTTTTGTTACTAAACTAAACCCCTATGTTTAACACTGACAGCTGAGAACTCGGAGACACGCCAGTTAGCCAAAAAGATCCGAGCAGAGCTGCGCTGTTGAAGCTGCTATTTCCCAGACTGAGATTCAGATACTTGCTGAAGATCATTTTTGGACGTCGCCTCTGACCGTTGTCCGGAGTGTATCAACGTCTCATCGCCGCAGGGGAGACGCGGCTGAGGGGAAAAAATGGCCGAAGGGGTCACTTTGAACGGTGGCTGAATGTCATTCAGTAATTTCTTTCATGGCGGCAGCCAGCTTGGCAGGCTTTCCTATCAGTTGATCAGTCATTATTATTGTTAGCTGCAAGCCGCACACATTTCCCTTTCTGCTTGACCGGCTCAAACCTAGGGATCAGCAAGTATGTCAGAGCAGTTGGGCAACTGTTCGCTTGGCGGCTATGATGATGATGCACATGTGAAAGCTTGCTCTGCAGGTGCAAAATGTGCTCGATGCACATGGGTGAAATATAAGCCTGTATGGCAGAAAGAATTAGCATGGTTGGACGCCAAAATGAATATGGAGAGTGGCAGTTGGGGCTTGGGCTGCCGACTGTGCCATGATGCTCAGGAAGTGAGTCCTGAAGCCATGTCCAAGTTTCCGGTTTCCAGGCATCACTTTGCAAGGTATGAAGTGAACAGTGGTGACATTCGTGTGGCTCGTTTCCGCAAACATGCTGCTTCGCCTGCTCACCGCACTGCTGAAAGCTACCTATCTCCTGTGTGTCAGTGCCACCCGCCCAACTCAAGCAAACTCGTCCACGAAGGAGGTTCAAGCGAAGTCTCCTGTGCGCGACGACGGAAGAGAAAAGGTGAAATTGTTTTCGGCAACTTTGATTGCAGAAGGAGTGTCAAGAGCCTCCTGTCCTGCTGCAACTACGGCTGTCAATTGGCATGCGCTGCAATAGCAATCAAGGAGGCTCCAGTAGACTCCTGCAAGGACGGAGGCATCGTACTTCTGAATTCACTCA